TAAGTCACCATAACACATTTATTTCCTTGTTATTTTGCCATTATTTTATTTATCTCATTAATTTATTTGAATTTAATATTGCAATATTTAGAATTGACCAATGAAAAATATAATAATCATAAATATTAATTATATTGTATATGTACACTTATAAAACGTCATCAATATTTTGTGTTGTTTTACATATTTTTGAATATTAAAATTAATTTGGTGGTTACAAGCTTTTGATCAAAATTCAAAATAAATGAGGATGTCAAAACAAATCAACTTGCCTCAACCTGCGAAGTTTGTTGCAAAACTAGTTAGTATGTCTTGTCTTATTTTTTAAAATGGGCTAAGTTTTTTCGGTTGTGTCGTTTAAGGGTTGACTAGTGAGTATAAATTAAAAAATAATAATAAAAGTCAGCGGATCAATAAATTAATGAGATATTATTTAAACTTAATATAAAAATAGAAAAAAAATATAAAAAATTATTTTAAATATTTTAATACCAATAAAAACTAATATTTAATTTATAAATAATTATATTTTATTTTAAAAAATTTTAAAAATCCAATAAATTTACTTATTATTAACCCACATTTTATCAAGTAAAAAGAGAAGAGCATGATAAAAAAAAATAAAAGCAAAATCTGAAATATCAAGAATTTATAAAGTTTTTTTTTGTACCATTGGGTTATATAACATTATATCATTGCATTAATATCCAAAAATATTATTCTTAATTTTTTTTTTTACATACAATTTCAAAATGCCGTTAATGTTAATTTCTAAATACTTCAATGCTAAGATTATTATTTTTTACTTATTAATTAATCGCATGTTTTTTCATTTGAAGCCATTTTCATTTGTCTGGCAAAAATTAAAATGTTTGGTACCCAAGAAATTCTTGTTAGTTATTATTAATTAATTTTATTAATTCTAAACCTAATGATACATGTGTGTGCTTATTTTTAACTTATTTTATTTAAAGGCTAAGTCAAACTTAGAGTTTTAAAAAAAAAAATCACTAAAATAGTCTAAGTTTCAAGTTTTTAAAATGTCTATCTATATTATCAGGCTAAGTTTCAATTTATTTTTTAAATATATAATAATAAAAATGTATAATTCATATTTAATCTGTTAATTAATTGTATGTTAATGTAATGGGTTTACATTTAATAAGGAATATAATGATTTTTATTAAATATTACATTATTTTCAAAATATGAAATATTAGTTTCTTATCTCTAGAAAGTTTTTATGTAATGTAAATGATGCTAATGTTCTTGAATGTTCTTTAATGACAGTAACTCATGCCAAGTATGTGATAGGGAATCCTCCCTCTTCTTGAATCTAGAATTTTTATGTTAACACAATCTTCTAGAAGTTTCCTGAGAACATTTCAAAGGTGTATAAAGTTTTAGACTGTTCTTCAATTTTCAGGATGCTCACAATTAGCTAAAGCTTTTCCTTTTACAGGTTTTAAGAGATTCTATAACATTTCAAATAAAAGCATATAAAAAAAATATTAATAACAAAACAGACTTTAGTTAACCAAAGATAAATATTATAACACATATCTCTCTCTTGATTAATAATTATTTTATTTAAAGTCATTCCTTTACCTTTATGACCCTATTAATTCTAAGTAAAATTTATAACTTTCATTATTTAATATTATTAAAAAATAGAATAGAATAAAGTCATAAAAATTTAATTATTAAAAATATTAATTACTCATTATATATATTTTTTATAAAACGTCAAATTTTTATCTTAGAACATATAGTTTTTTTAAAAATAATTAATAAAATATTTAAAATAATCAATAATATCTCAATAGTGTTTGAATATATTAACTTGATTATTAATTTAAAATACTAAATGAAATTTATTAGAAAATACTTTTACATTTTAAAAAAGTTAAAACATATATTTTAAATAAAATAACAATAATTTTAATAAATTATTCTAATTAACTTCAAATCAACTTATTTAAAAATTATTTTTAAGTTAAATCTGAATTGGGTTATAATCCCAAAGGACATTTAGCAAGTTGGTTTGAGCAAAAGCTGCCTTCACTACCAGCCACATACTCCATCACCTATGGAAATTTTTATAGTACTTATATTGTTATTTTATTGGATATGAATTGTTAAATATTTATTAATAATTAATTTTATATGAAACAATTTTTAGTGTGTGTTAAGTGTGTTTCTCAATTAAAATAAGAAACCAATTTGGTGAGAATAATTTTATAAATAAAAAAATATTGCGGTGAGAGTTTTGCACCTATAAGTAGGTTTTATCTAGCTCAGTTGAGATTACCAGTGATTCGATCAATATCAATGCAATGTCAATAGGGTTTCTTCTTCTAAGAAAAATTTAATAATCAATAACCTGTTCCCAATCTAATCTTGTCATTAATTGTCGATAATAAATTTGGTCAACTTTTTCTGTTCTTAACTTCTGTCATGCAAGAGTAAAAATAAAAATTAATGTTTAAATAAATTAAAATTAAAGTAAAAAAATAATATTTAGATAAATTAAAATTAGAGTCAAAGAAATAAAGATAAATTTGTTTAAAACAAAAAATTAAATTAAATTTAAAATAATTATAAAAATTAAAATCATTTTTAAAAATGTTTTCTTATAATATTTTAATGAAAAATTAATTTCTTCATAATTTTTAATGTTATGTAAATATTTTTAATAAACTAAAAATAAAATTAATAATAACAATCTCCTGTGTCAAAAACTTCTTCTCCACTCTTCTTTCTTTCATTCAAACATACATCATTCTTCTACTCTCCTTTTTTTTTTCTTTTACCTTAATATTTTTTCATCCAAAAACTAAATATATTTGTTTTATTTTTTAAAATGAATTAAAAATATTGATTCAATATAAGGGTGGGCCAATAACTAAATAATTTAAAATATAAATAATATTAGCATTTTATGAATATATATATATATATATATATATATATATATATATATATATACACTGCTTTAGGTGGATTAAATCAACAAACTTGTTGATGAAGCCTGTTTTGCCATGATAAAATATGAGGGTTTAGGAGTAACTTGCCTTTTCTCTTGATTTTGAAAATTTCACATATAAGCAAAGTGTTGAGATTTGGCCCAATAGACACATACTGAGAAACATTCTAAATTTGTAACTATACTGAAAAGGTGTTCATAAAAGGACCAGTTAAATGCTGCATTATCAATTTCGTTTGACACTTTTGAATATCAACTTTTAAAACACAGGCATGCAAGTTGGTCTGATTTGAATAACATTCCTTCCCAATTCACATAAATGATGCATACATTCATCTGACAGAGAAAAAGTGTGTTCTCTGCAATTCTTGCACCCCAATCCATTTTTTGGCAGAAAGTTGACCAACCTTTGAAATATACCACTACCCCTATGTCCTTAGGAGCTTAAATAAACAGCATGCAAATTTTAATTTCACCAGCAAAGTAACTTTTCATTGTCTTTCAATGTAAAATAAAAAATATTAGTGTGTTGTGTATTAAAAATATAAAAAGTAGACATTTGAATATGTTTTAATGTAATTTTTTAATGACTATTTATTATTTTTTAAAATTTTAATTAATATTTTAGGACTAATTAGCTAGATTAAAAACTAAATCCTCTTAGTATAACGACTTCTAGGAACCTCACTTATAGCTCATCCTTCCCAATAAGAGTGCTTGTCTGAACCCTCAAGAAGTTAAGATTTTATGGTTTCTAGAATCTTGGACAGAACATGCATTCTCGAGCAGCTCTAGTCACCATTTAAAGGTCAAGGGACTCGGTTATTTTATCCATGATGTTTTTAACTGGCGTGTGATAAGTGTAATTAAAAATAAATAAATATAAAGTAAAAAATAATTAAATAAATGAAACATTTATGTGTACATATGAATCAAAATATTATGTACAATGAGAAAATCATTATTTTGACTCTTTAAAATTATGATCTACATAAAATGAGTTGTAAAAATTAATGTTATAACTTAAAAAGGATCATAAAAAGTAAAAAAATAAAAAATAAAAAAACATATAGATTGAGAATATAACATTAAACTAAATTCATAATACATACATATATATTAAAAAAAATTAACTACTTTTGGAAGTTCATTCATAATCTGTGGATCCAAATGATTCATTAATAGTACATAAAATTTTTATTTGCAGGGTTAGTTTGGTGCTCATTCACATATAGACCTTTTTCACCTTGTAATTCCCTGACTATCTGCCATACAAAAAGCACATGGAATTCTATGAGAGAAAGGTTCTTAGGCATAATAACAGAGCTTTGTCTTTTCTAATACCACTAAAAATAGGCTCACTCAAATATGTGACGATGACTTAGCTCCAAAAGAATTGCTAACAAATACTAACCATTCAATTATGTTAAGGTACCTGAAAAAGTGACATTCATAGAACTAAGCTAATAGTAACACCAAAACATTTGACTTATTTAATTGCCAACGAAAATGCTAATTGTTGACCATTACACAACACAAAAATTGTAGGCGAAAAAGTTGCAGTGTGAGTAATCAAGAGTCCAAGATGCAGTATGTGTGGCTGTGAAGTGCCTAAGGTGGCCAACTATTGAACATGAAACGTGGACTCAACTTTAACCTTGGTGCATGGTTGGCCCAAAAAGAGCCTGCATAAAGAATGTCCTTATGAAAAATATCCCAACATAAAAATCAAAACTTAGAGTTAACAACCCCATAATTTACCTTGCTACAAATTTCATCATAAGGACAGAGAAACAATGTTTGAATAAACTAAAAACAAAAAGTACAAATTTTTTATCTGCATCAACTAGAGCCATATAATTAAATTAGCACATGTTCAGTCCCTTCAAGGAGACTAACATACCAACAAAACAACACAAAATGAATCATTTGAGAATCCAACTCAGTTTGCTAGAACTCTTCTCCACCATAATCCAGTCCAACTCCAACTCCATTTCTCATTGCAGCAATAACATTAAGGGTCACTAAAGTAACTATCTACGTCCCATTTACATGACTCAAAATCCTCATCAAGATTGATTAACGGAACACCAATGCAATCCTCATTGGCAGAAGAAAGCAGCAGAGGAAGCGGCTCATAATGTGGATAACAAGCATCAAGATACAAAATGCCATCATCATAAGTGAACTCTTTAAACACTTCTCCCACATCCACCAATTTATTCCAAGGCTGAAACACAAGAAAAGAAGTGGGTGAAGATGAAACAACACACTCATTGCCAGAATCAACCGCACAGCTCACTCCATCACCAACACTATCACAATCAACACACCCAACTTCTTCATCTTTAGAGTTCTTGGGTGGCTTAATGAAATTGGTTAAAGCATCAGCACCTCGTAATCGAATAGCAGCTCTATCATAAGCCAAAGCAGCTTCTTCAGCAGAGTCATAAGTACCTAACCAAACTCTTGTTCTTTTTAAAGGGTCTCTTATCTCTGCAGCCCATCTTCCCCAAGGCCTTTGCCGAACCCCGCGAAACTTGTGCTTGTTCAGAACCTTTTGATCTTCTTGTTTAGGCCTATGATTCTCTTTCAGCCCACACCCACCACAATCATCATCATTTTCTGTCTTCTTTTTGTTCTTGTTACACCCAATTCTTATCTCATTCACCACTTTCTTCACTATAGGACGATGAACAAAACCTTCTTCTTCATCTTCACTGGAAGAATCTGTCGCATAATGATCAATCAGTGAAATCCGAATAACTTTAGGGGTAATAGGCAAAGAACCTGGTTTCTGAAGCATGGTGGTGACAGTTTTTTGCTCACAATACATGGCTTCTTCAATAGCAACAAGCTCTTGAAAGGAGCATAGAAGAGAAAATGAAGAAGAGAAGAGTGTTTTAAGAATTTGTAGACTTTTTGTAACAGAGAATCACTGTTGTATAGCATGATATCATTGCATTAATGTCTGAAAATATCGTTTCCTTAAATTCTTTGTTAATTTAAAGAAACTTTTTGCCAAGATCTTTGTTAATGATATTTAAAATTTATACAAGGAATCTTGGATATGTTTGTATACGGGGTTTAAGCAGCACTTTCTGAACAAAATTATATCTATATATATATATATATATATATATATATATATATATATATATATATTAAATCTTAATTAAGTGCATATCAGAGGTTGATTAAAAAATAAAACTTTCTTAAAAGTTTTTATTAATTTTTTCTAAAAAATTATTTGTTAATTTTAATTAATGCACTTACGATATTTGTTAATAATATAATTTTTTTAAATACATGTAATAACCTCTTTTTCATATCAATAATTGATTTTAGTTTTCTTTAATTTTCGAAGTGAGACACCGATTCATTCAGGTTACCTCGAACGTTAAAAAGTGTTTACACACACGTTGCCATCTTGTCCATATGGCAATTATAGGTAGAAAAGTTTGATGACTAAAGAATAATTAAACTAATCATAATTTTAATTAAACTGTAATTATAATAATTAATATTTTTTTACATACAATTTCATTATGATCAATTGTTATTATATTTATTCTTAACAAATTTGAATTATTAATCCTTACTTCATTCATTACAATATGCAAAAACTTAAACACTGAGAACTGTTATTACGTATTAATTTATTATAGATTTTTTCGTTTTAAGTGAAATTGTATTTGTTTAAATAAAAATAACATGCTTGGTCACCAAGAAATTTTAATTATAGTTAATACTCTGTCAATTTATGATTCGGGAGTCAATACTCTATCAGTCTTACTTTTGCAATGACGAATAAATAAAAATGTTATTTTATGTATTGTTAATAATAATTTAAATATGTCAAAAGAAATTGTGAAAAGTTTATAATCTAATTTATTTAAAAATAATTCAAATTTAGAGTTCTTACAAAATATTCAATTCAAAGGGTTAAGATTTGTTAAAAATGACTATTTAGGTTATGAGACCAAGTTTCTATATATTATTTAAACATACAATAACCGGAAGGTATAATATATATTTAATCCATTAACTATATATTAATATAATACATTTAAACTTACTATATGTACATAATTTAATACTTTTATTATATATTATATTTATTTTAATAAAAAAATGTTTATTAAGTTTAACAGGCTTTTATATATGTAACATGAATCATTAACTAAACTAGTTGAGAAACTTAACTAATTTACATGTATTTTATTTTATAATAATATACATATAGCTTAATAATTAAAGAATATTTTTTAAAATAATTATATTTATAATAAATTTATTTTAATTTTGTTGAAATTTATTTTGATTTACTTTATAAGTATAAATACTATGTGTTAAAATGACAAATATTTAATAAAATTAAATCATTTTAAAATATATTTATTTTAAAATATTAACTTTATTATATAATGTTGAATCAAATTTCAACTATTAATATATACAAAATATTATAAATTTAAGAAATAAGACTCTTAAAAATAACTTTAAATTTAAAAATAAACACATTAAGATAATTTTTAAAATATAAAAAAAATGTATTAACAAAAAAATAAAATTTATATAAGATAATAAGGGAAAATTAATAACAATTTTAATCTCTAAAATTTAAAATAAAATTAAAAATATGTGAATAAAAAAATCATTATAAAAGAAAGCATAATTCACACATTTCAGTTTTAGTTATAAGATATACACATAACAAACTGTAAAAAAGAATAAATAAGAAACTAATACTATATTTTCAAGTAATAAACTTTATTTCTATTATTTTAATTTTTTTGTCTTTAACAATCTATACGGAAAGATATCCTAATCTTTTGTATGATAGAACGACGAAAAAATTAGAGAAAAAAATTAAAAATAAAAATAAAATAAGTTAAAAAATTATATTATTATTATATTTTTTTTATTTCTTTCCTTTCTAACCAAGCATATAAGAATCTCACTACAAGCCTTCTTTCTCAACGCACATTTAAATAAATTTTTGTAATTACTTTTAAAAGCATTGGATATTGAAATACATCATCGTACTTGGTCAATGATAATATAGTGTGAACGTTCAATCTTAATTAAATAATAAATAATTAACAATTTTAATTTAATAATAAAATACAAGTAATATATATTAAACTCTTTTACATTGTAATTTTGAGGTTATACTGATAAATGTTTAGTTGTTTTTTATTAATTAAATTATGTTAAACTCTTAATTTGAAGGCAGGTGAAGAGGTCAAGTTGGTAATAAATATTTGGAAATTGTTGGGAAAGAGGTATGTTGATTGACCACAGTATTCTCAACAGTTTGCCTTTGCTTGAGGATCAAGCAAAAGAAGAAGAGACGTTTCTTTAAATTATATAAAATATAAAAAAATCATATACAAAAATATAAGATTTTAAAAATCGTGATCATTTGTAATGATGATTTTAATACTTTAAAATTATTTTTTAAATCACTATTAATAAATTTTATTTTTTAAATATTTTAATATTTTAAAAAATCACCATTCATGATTTTTTAATAAACTTTGTGTTGTTCGATCTCTACATCTTCAACTATTTCAAAAACGTTATATTTTTGTAATTTTTTAAAGTAAAACACCATAAGAGATTATCTTTGAATTTTATATTTTCATAATTTTTTTTAAATACTATATTTTATTATATGATATTTTTAAATATCATATACAAAAAACTCTCTCATATGTATCAAAATTTTTTATTATCTCACAAAAAATTAATATTTATTCTAAAATTAGAAAAATTACTTTATTCTACAAAAGAAATATAAATTTAATTTGGTTCAATATATTAAAATATAAAATTAAAGTACAAAATATTTAAAAATAATATATATATATATATTAATTTAGAAATTAATTGGTAAATGCAAGGAAAAAAATGCAGGGCATAAGATGTGAATAGCTTTTGAAAATGCTCTCATTCAGTTGAGAACTCATGTTTAATATAAAAGAGTGAATTACTTTCTTCTTTTAATACTATAATAATTAATTCTTGTTACAAATATTTATTAGATAGCTTGATTTTCATATCAATGATAAGGATATTACATAAACAATCTTGCAATTTAATTAAGTTGTTTTTCGGTAAAAAAAATCAAAGTGGATAGAATTGTTTATTAAAACTAATGAATTTGTACAAAATTTTTAAAAAGAGAATTATTGTATCAATTATGAATATAGTATTCATAAGAAGAAAATATATGTTTATAAAATAATATTAATGTTTATGTTTAAAGAGTTAAAATATTAGTTTAATTATGTTTTTATTCTTATATATAATATATTTTGTGATAAATTCTAATAAATTTTTTTATTAGCATTTAGTTCTTAAGTTGTTAAAAAGTTAGAATTTAATATTTTTGTTAAGTACTAAAATGATGAAAAGTCATTTCAGTATTTTTATGTCATGTCATTTAATTTTTTAATATTTTATTATTTAAAATTAATATTTATAAATAAATTATTAAATATATTTTAAATATTTATAATTTAACCTCCACCTCCTCTCTCTCTTCTTCTTTCTTGTCAACCTTTCTCCTTCTCTTACGCACTTCTCCCTCCCCACACTTCTTAAGCTTGTAATAAACATTTAATTTTCTTGCATGTAGTTTGGTAACAAAATAGAAAGTTGTCATTCTTATAAGTTTTATTAAATATCCAATTTTATTTCCACTCCTATCCCTCTCCACACTTCTTAAGCTTGTAGCAAACATTACATTCTCTTTCGCGTAGTTCTTAAATTATTTCTTTTATAAGAAGAATAAATGAAAATCTTAAGGTTTTAAAAAAATCAAATATATGTTTGCAAGGAGCCAATTGGAAAATATTGATTTAATTTAATCTGTAGTGTTAAGTTTAAGTTTCGACGAATATAGTAATATTAAGAGTTATATCTCCTATTTAGTTCAAACACTATTGTTTTTAATAAAAAAAAATAGATATGATCTAAATATAAAGAAGAGCCAATTATTTATCATTGACTAAAGTGCCTAATAATATATAGCTTGACTAGTCACACTAAATTTAGTTAAAGAATTAGCCAAAAAAAAAAAAACCTATTTTTTGTCATGAAAAAATATCTTCTTTAAAAATACGATGAATGAAAATATTTTGTTAATGAATAAAAAACACAAATTTAAAAATTTTTATTTATTTTTAACAATTTACAATATAGTAAAATACATATATAATTGTGTTATCTTATATATGTATATATTAAATGTTATAATTTTAAAAAAAATTGTAATTTTAAAATAAATTTTTTTTTACTAAATTTAATTTTAATCAATCAATTTAAAATTTTTTATGATATAACTATGTGATTTTATCATTGTACTTGGGATATGTAAGAGCAAGATGCAGACTCATCGAGTCAAAATTATTTTTAAATTTTTTTTTCTAAGATATTAATTAATATTTTAATAAATAAATTTTATTTCTTTAAAAATAATTTTTATTATTTAGGAGTTAAATAAATATTTTTTAAAATAAAATTATACAATTAATCAAAGATAATTGTTATTTAAATGAACGTTGTTAAATGTTAATACCTTTCTACACATAAAACGACTATTCAACTCATTTATTGTTTCAAAGATTCTTCTAAAAAAAATTTTGTTTTTTCTTTAATAAATTTTAGTGGTGACTCTTTTAATTTTTAAAAAATATTTTATTCTTAAAAGTTATTTTTCTTAACACATTTTTTACCATTCTACTACAATAATAGCAAAAAAACTTATTATATATAAAAATATATATTATAATTTAGTTTTCATTTTTTAACCTCAGCACAATTATGTACTCTCCTGTTAAGACTTCATCAAGTCAAGACTCTTAATTTTAATAATAGTTATGTTTGAATAACTCTTTATAAAATAAAAAATTAATATAAAAATAAAATAAAATTATTTTTATTAGTTAAAAACCACTTATACTTTTTATTATTTTAAAGTTTAATTTATTTTTTATATTAATTTTTTCTTCTGTAAGATTTTCCACAAATTCACTCAAAGAGGACCAAATGTTATAGTGACGACAGACCACAAATTTGTTATCCACTTTATTAAGTCTAAAGTTAATAAATGTCATTTACAGAAACTTTTAATTCATGAAATTAGAGTTTTAATTCAATGTTATACAATTATTTATGTGTGCCATGTATTTAGGATATAGGGATGGTAATTTTCTAACTAATTTAGTAAATTTAAATTTTATTAAAACTTTTTCAATCCTCCTTAATCTTGTTCACCTTTGTTGTGAGATTGCTTATGGGATAAGCTATTATTAAAAGAATGATTTTTAAATTTTTTTTAGCATGTTTATTAAATAAATAAATAAATTTTTAAATAAGTATATTACATAACATTAGATATACTGAACGATTCAATAACAATTATTATTATTATTATTATTATTATTATTATTGAAACTACTGCTGCTATAGCGTGAGTTAAAAGGGATTTATACTGATTTCTTTGAATGTGCTTATATTTATTCGTATATAATTTCTTTTATGTTGGTTAGTACTGTGTTTCTTTTCATCAATTAACTGATTTCAATTTTTTTATTGATTTTTCACATTCTATATGACAGTATATTTGTATGTTCAACAAATTGAATTTTTTTATTGGTTCTGCATTTTTTTGTAATATTTAATAAACAATAGATATGTGATTATTATATATTTATTCAAATTTCTTGTTATTACTACATAAATATTTATTTTGCTTTATTTTTAACAGGAATAAACAATGTTTTAAACAACACAATTAAATATTTTTTTTTCCTAATTTTTAGTGTAAAAAATTGTGATTTTCTAACGCTTATTATTTCTTACTATGTTTTTGAGATCTATTCTAGTTGGTTTTTAGAAATAAGCAGCGATTAATCATTAAAACTATTTTTTTTTTCTAATTTCCAGTAAAACAAATTGATGGTGACTTGTAATGTTCTAAGGCTTATTATTTGTAAGAAGTATTTCTAATTTATTCGGATAACAATAAAATATTGAAAAAAAATTGTCTCAAAATTAGAAATGTTACTCCAATTTAATGAGAGTTCTCTCCAAGATTTCAATTGTTTATTATATTTTACTCACAATTTGAAGTACTTACATTTGAAAATAGATTTATTGCAAATGAATTGAATCACAATAAAGATGAGTGGATTGAAAGGATCAAAAAATTGCTTTAGATGCTTAAAGAGGAACAAAAGGGACAGAACAATTTTCACACGAGACCTTTTGACTAATAAACACAATTTAAGTTATTAAAATTATGATAATTTAATTTAAAATATTTTTGAATTTTTAAAGATGTATAATTTCTTAAAAGATATAAAGTTATTATCAGTAGCATTTAACTAATTTTTTTAAAATCTTAAAATATACTTTAAAGTTAAAATAAAAATAAAAATAAAAGAATTAAATTTAAAGTTAAAATGGTTAGATAATTTTATATATTTTTTTAAGTGTGATGTATTCTTAGATATTAGAATTTCTAAAAAAAACAAAAAAGTAAAGGAGAAGAATGGAGAAAAGCTTCTAAATTAGCTTATAAAAAGTTTTATGTATATATTTAATTCCTGGAAAGAAGTTCTTTTTTCTTAGAATATTTATATAATTATATTTAACACAACTTATTATTCTAAGTAAAAAAAAGTTGAATAAAATGAATTAAACACTGCTATAATAAAATGAGAGACTTTTTTAAGAAAAATATTTAATTACTCTTAATAATATAATATTATTTATTTTAATTACGAATTTTTTAAAAATATTCATAATAATAATAAAAATAAGTTGACAGGGTAGAGTGGAATGTTTTACTTGCTTTAAGGTTAGACTTAAGCCTGTCCAAAAATGTTAAACCCGTCCGAAATTGAGCTAGCCGAAAGCTCAAAGTGCGGACGGAACAGTCTGGCTCAAGTAAAGGGATTGATATCTGAACTGACCCGATCGATTATTAAGTTAATGTTTAAAAAAAAAAAAAGAAATCCTAAGACGCATAGTTACGTAGTAAGTCTCTCTTTGTCACCGGTTGCATGCCATTTTTTTGGTTTGTTCTTTCTTCTTCTTCTTTCTTCAATTTCATCCCCAAACTAAGTGCTCTGCAATTTTTGCTAGGATTTTTATCTCTTAGACTCTTAGTCATGGAATCCTAAAACTAAGGTGCATACTCTTAACTGTTTCATATTTTTGGCTGTTGGAAAAAAAATATGCATTATTGAAGTTGTTTGGGTTGGAGCAGCACTATTCTTGTTCCAACAGTTTGCTGGAATAAATGTTGTAGTATATTACTTTTGACATTGTAGCAAGTGCCTCCACCCATGTTTTAACCCTATTTTGTTAGGGAAAAAATATGCAAATAAAGAAAAAATTTGAAATTGGACTTCAAAAAATAGACAAATAAGATTTTTTTTATTGTTTTTGTTAAAAAAATCATTTTGAATATAAATTGGTCTAACTCAGTTCTTTGACCTGCTTAACATGCAACCCCCTTAAACTACAATCTCATTCTTTCTTTTTTTTGTGAATATAAGGGAGCAAGGCCCCAAAGAAAACTAACTCACATTAAAATGAGAAAAATCTATGGCAAACTGCAATAAAATTCAATACGGAACAGTATGAAAGATTCGAATGTTACTATGAAATTTTAAGGCACAACAAGTTAAAGTACTAGTACAAGAGTTGCAGGAACGATTAATATAACTAATAACTACTTTCAAGTTTAATTTAATTTTGGCTTTAATGTCATCTACTTGTTCCGGTTCTAACATCAGATCCAGAATATTTGACAAAATTAAATCCATATAGTGCCTACAATCGGATTCAATGATCAAGTTCCTATAACCAATATCTATTGTCATGTTTATGCATGTGAAGATAACAAGAAGTTCAATGGCCACGGGTGACGGAGCAACAATCTTATCAGCAAAAGCTCTCATAAAACTGCAATGAGGATCACAAAAAATTCTTGCAATGCCTTTTCCAAAGACACACGGCCAACATCCACATTAAGCTTAACCCACCAGAGGAGCAATCCAAAGGGAAGTACTACCTCTATTCAGCTCTAGAGAGTATTACCTCTATTCCTGCAACCTCATTCAACCTGAATTTCTAGGCAGATGGTTACAAGCTCAAAAATATAGAGGTCAGTTTGGACTGTTCTTAGATCAACTACACCCGAAATTGAGCCATTATACAATCCTACTTGGACCTGTATAATATTCAAAAAGATTCAAGTGTCAGATCTTAGCTATCAATTTTTGGTCACTTATTCATGTTTACAAAATTACTATAAAGTAATGAATTTCAAAATAATAAGGATATTTTCTTTAATATTTTATATAAAAAGGAGGAGAATCAATATTTATTTTATTTTATTTATTTGTTAAGTTGGCAGGTAGTTTATGTATGTTATTTGTTACAATTTATCATGTTATAAAAAAATATTTATTTTATTATTGGATATAAAATATTTATACAATGAATGTGGAGAACCATGATCAATCACCAAAAGTATAAAAAGTTATTACTAAAAAAAGTACAAAGCTATTTAAATAAATTAAACGTGGATGGAATAATTAATTACATAAGTTTATGGATGTTTAATATCTTTCACATACGAATAAAAATTAAAATAAATGGATCATATAAAACTCTTTAGTAATTTATATATTTGATTACAAATAAAATACTTTTCATAACTTTTCTTGAATAAGATATTAATAAAACAATTATAAGAAAATAAAAAGTTATTTAATGAAATTTAGTATACCTAAATTTTTTTTATAAAATGTTATATATAAAATTACCGTGAATAAAAAAAATTGGAGATAAAATTTCGTTAATAAATAAGCAATATAATATTATGGGTTGAAATAATAAGATACTAAAACGCATCTTTATAAGATGAAATGAAATTTAAAGTGAATATTTTAATTAAAATTAATTCTAAAATCTAAAAAAAAGTAATATATTTTAACTAAAATTATTCTTTACTTAAAAGTAATATTTTAATTTTAATATTTATTATTTATTTTATTTTAATTATAAAAATATAATATTTAATACAATATACATAATTATGATACGTGTATAGATAAAAATCTATTTGTATTTTATTTACATTGATTTTTAATATGCAATAAATAAACAACAAAAATACTCCGACCAAATACACCAAAGACCATTACCCTAGTTACAAAGGTACAAACATACCCATGCTTCTATTAGACAAAAATTAATGGTAAATATTTTTTTTACTTAATTTATTAAAATTAAATCCTGATAAAGAAAAATTTAATGACTAATTTCAATGTTTTGTAACTTTTACTTGACCAAAAACTTTTATTCAAGGCTTATCAATCATCAAATACAGTGCAAAAGCGACACCGTTTTGCCTCAACCCTGTTACCCTTCCGTGCTAAGCCCTTTCTTCCCTGCTTCGCTTTCGTGCCTTTATTTTGTGAGACTCGACTCGTCCCAAGGGTAGAAGAAGAAGAAGTGAAAGGGTAAAGCAAAGTGTGTACTGATTCTCTGTGTAGTTTTTCATTTTGTTTTGTCATGACTTTTCTCTTTTTTTATTCTGCTTGGTCTTGATTACAGGTTTAGCGTGTATTTGCTCTAAACATGGACGAGGATCAAGAAATGGAACGATTCGGAATGGAGAATGATTACGAAGGTGGGCAATGGATCGGTGGTGAGTTCTACTACCGGAAACGCAAAGAAAAACGCACCCAGACCAAGGACGATGTTTTGTACGGTGTTTTTGCGGATTCCGATGACGACGAAGACAATGATTATTCTAGCAGAAAACGGAGAAAGGACCGCGATTTTTCGAAGAAGCAGGACCTTACTAAACCTGTGAATTTTGTGTCTACGGGCACTTTTATGCCCAATCAAGAAATTGTTGATAATAAGGCCAAAGAGCATGATGAGAAGGATGGCTATGGTAGTGATGATAGGCCAGGGTTAGGGTTAGGGTTAGGGCTTGGTGCGGGGTCTGCTAGTACTTCAGGCGCTGGTTTAGGGTTTAATTCTGGTAAGGTTGCTAATGGTTCTGATAGAAATGATGATTCTGAGGAGAATGACGATGGTGGCGATGATAATTTTTTGCCTACAGCATTTGGGAAGAAGCTTAAGGAGGGGGCAATGAGGAGGGAGAGAGAGAGGTTGGAGAAGAAGAGGGGGCAGCGACAGAATTTAGGTCAAGATGGGTTTGGTGATGTTGGGAAGTTTGAGAAGCATACGAAGGGGATTGGGCTGAAGCTGTTGGAGAAGATGGGTTATAAAGGGGGTGGGCTTGGGAAGAATGAGCAAGGTATTGTGGCTCCCATTGAAGCAAAATTGAGAGCAAAGAATTCTGGTATTGGGTTTAATGACTCTAAGGAGGCTGTGCCGTTGCCCGCTTTGCAGCAAGAGAAGAAGAGCGTACCGGGAGTCACACAAACTACAGTCAGTAGAACGAAGGAAAGGTTGTGGTCGAAGCAGACGAGGCTGAAGAAGAAGAAAGAGGAGGAAGAGTATGTAACTGCAGAAGAGTTGTTGGCGAGCAAGCAAGAACAAGAGCTGGAGGTTGTTCAGAAGGTTTATGATATGAGGGGGCCGCAGGTTCGGGTGTTGACAAATTTGTCTGATTTGAATGCAGAGGAGAAAGCAAAAGAAAATGATGTCCCAATGCCGGAACTTCAGCATAATGTAGCGTTAATAGTTCGGTTGGCTGAGGCTGACATCCAAGAGATTGATAGAGATTTGAGAAGAGAGAGGGAGACGGCGCTTAGCTTGAAAAAGGAAAAAGAGAAGTTAGAAACTGAGGCAGCGTTTCAAAAGAAGCAGCTGGATTATTTGGAGGAAATAATGAGGGTGTTGGAGCGAGTCGGAGAAGATAACACTTTAGGAACATTGACATTGGATTCACTTGCTCAATGCTTTAGGGACTTGCACACAAGATATGCTGATAACTACAAGTTGTGTAATTTATCGTGCATTGCTTGCTCATATGCTCTGCCTTTGTTTATCAGAGTGTTCCAAGGATGGGATCCTCTTCGAAATCCATCTCATGGGTTGGAGTTGGTATCACAGTGGAAGGTGTTGCTTGAAGGAGAAGATTCTGTCGATATATGGGATATATCATCACCTTATTCTCAATTGGTTTCGGAGGTTGTATTGCCAGCTGTCAGAATATCTGGTATCAATACCTGGCAAGCACGGGATCCTGAACCAATGTTGCGGTTTCTGGAATCATGGGAAAAGTTACTTCCTCCTTCAGTCCTTGCTACCGTATTAGACAATATAGTCATGCCAAAACTGTCAAGTGCTGTAGATACTTGGGAACCACATCGTGAGACCATTCCTATTCACACTTGGGTGCATCCATGGCTGCCTCTGCTGGGACACAAGTTGGAGGGTATTTATCAGGTGATTCGTTTCAAGTTGAGTACTGTTCTTGGTGCCTGGCACCCAAGTGATGGTTCTGCTTATGCTATATTGTCTCCTTGGAAGACTGTATTTGATTCTGCAAGTTGGGAACAACTTATGCTTCGTTTTATTGTACCAAAGTTGCAGCTTGTCTTGCAAGAGTTCCAAGTGAACCCGGCAAGTCAGAATCTTGATCAATTTTACTGGGTAATGAACTGGGCTTCTGTCATTCCTATTCATCTGATGGTTGATATGATGGAGAAAGTCTTCTTTGCCAAATGGCTTCAGGTTTTGTATCATTGGTTGTGCTCAAATCCTAACTTTGAAGAAGTTACAAAATGGTATTTGGGATGGAAAGACCTTATTCCAAAAGAACTTTTGGCAAATGAAAGTATTCGATACCAGCTTAATCGTGGTCTTGATATGATGAACCAGGCTGTTGAAGGTATGGAGGTGGTCCAACCTGGTTTAAAGGAGAATATCAGCTATCTTAGGGTACTTGAGCAAAGGCAATTCGAGGCTCAGCAGAAAGCAGCTGCCTATGCTCAACAGCAAGCTGCTGCAAGCGTGGGTGGTGCAGTCAACGCTGATGGTGTGCATGAGTTGAGCTTGAAAGAAGTCATTGAAGCCCATGCTCAGCAACATGGTTTACTATTCAAGCTTAAGCCTGGTAGAATGCACAATGGTCATCAAATATATGGGTTTGGTAATGTCAGCATAATAATAGACTCTCAACATCAAAAGGTATATGCCCAAAATGAAGAAACATGGTCTTTGGAATCCCTTCAAGGCTTGCTAGAGTTGCATAATAAATCCCTTACTAAAAGACGCTGAATTCTGCATTGGCCAATGTGAAGTAACATCTCATTTCTCAGGTACTCTATTTATAGTTTCTTGTATGAGTCGTATTCATTTGATTACAATTTCAGGCTTGGGATGTTGTAGTTTTCCTGCATTCTTGTTTTGTGCAACTTTATGTTTGATAATAAGTGGAATTGGTAGGTGTAAATGATAGACAAAAAAAGGAGACTCTGGTGCCAAATTTTTTGGACATTCTTGTTTTTAATTTCTTAATCAGATGGCAATTTCCTCACCTTACTTGGCTTTCCCTTTTTACTATTTTCCAATAATTAATCTCCATGCACACATTAGTTTCCCAAAAATTATTAGAATTTTAGAACAGTGTATGGACATATGACCTAGTTAGATCAATGGGTATATTTCCATGTATTATTTGGTGAAAAGTATTGCTCACCTCAGTGGAAGGGAGAGGGCGCAATGGGGAAAATTTGGTGCCATTGATTGGACCCTGCGTGCCTCATTATATCACGCCCATCATCCAAGAGGCTCTTGACCAATAAGTTTAGCTGCTAACACGTGTCAAGACTAAATTTTATCGAAGGAGATTAAATAAAAATAGTTGTGTTTTTCTGCTAGTTAAACTCAAAAGAGTGGCAAATATTAATGCTAGGAAAAGTATGAATTACTGGTTTAGAATAGTAACTTGATTTATTTTTGAAATTGGCATTGTGGATACTTTCTTGAACAAAATTTCCAAATTGCTGTAACATCCTTTTGCTGATGGAAGATATTTACTTCAATAATTACATTTTTCAAAAGAGCTGCATATTTCCGCTTTCAAATACAAACCTCTGTTCTTTTCTCTTAGTGGAAATGGCTAGTTTAATGTGACAAATGTGGTAGTAATTAGTTGGAACTGGAATCACATGAACTGCAATTAGATTTATGTGATTTGAAGCAAGTCCTCGTCCAGTCAATGCAGATTGGTTGAAGTTTTTGTTTTGTTGTGGAATCTATGTTGAGTTGGCAGAATTGCATGGAATCTCAATTTTTGTTGCAATTCCAAGTAAACAGATATTGGAGGGATTGGGTGCTGAACAGCCATCATGGGGCAATAATACCAGGTGTTGCTATGGCTGGAATCACATAGGTAGATTTTTGTGAAGATGGCAACCAGAAACAGGCTTGTGCAACTGTGCACTTCCTTGATTATGAATCTTACAATTCACATTGCATTTTGATTCACCCTTAGGAAAACAGGGTCTTTTGCAGTTCAATTCAGTATTTCAGAACCATGTTGACATTCTTAAGAAAAATCTTTGCTTTGATTTGAGTCTCTGGTTAAGAAATGCTGAATTGCTGATATCAAAATTGGTAGGAAGGACATTAGATAGGAAAAGGGACTTGAGTGAAAGAACCATCTTTACACCTGGAACTGGCATAATTTCTTAATATCCATTAAGTGCTCTCCCAAAAGTAGTTTGAGTAATCTGTCTCAAGATAGTTAAATTGGGCTTCAAGTTGTGAATCGTAAGACCTATTTTTGAATCGTGAATCGAATCGTATCTTGAATCTTACAATTCAAGATCAATAATTTAAAACATAAAAAATATAAATATAAGAGTATTGTCAATGTTATCAATGGTGGAAAGCAAAAAAACTGCCATAAAATTATGGCGGATGCCATGGCGGGTTATGGCGGAATAATGGCGGTCATATATATATTGCAAAATGTGATATAAAACTAGAAAACTAAGTACATATAAAAGAAGGAAGGTTTTGAGAAAAAAAGAATAAAATGGTTGTACAATAGTGAAAAAAAGCTGAAGTTATAACAACAGAAAAGTAGAGAATTAAAATAAATATGAAGAAGGAAACTTGGAAGTGAAAACAGAAAAATAGAATCAAGAAAACAAAATAATAAGAAAAACAAAAAAAAATGGGGGAGTAAAACAAATGGGAGAGGGAAAAACAGAACTGAAAAAAAAAATAGGAGAGGGAAAAACTAAGAAAGAGGGACAGAGCTCAGAGAAGCAAAATGGACAATGGACGTCGGAAAATAGGGCCTTCGACTCAGTTGCCGGAAAACAGCCGGAAAGGATGTCTTCTCTGGCGAAAATGATGAAGGAGATGGAGAAGTTAGCTTTAGAGAAGAAGGAAGAAAAACAGTGCAGAGAGAACCCTAAATATTTTACCCTTCAGAAAATTTACCGCTTAAGAGAATGTAAAAATTTTAAGTGGAAAAAGTCTATTTTGCCCTTAAAAAACCCTAAAATACGTAAAGCAAGGGCAAGATTGGAATTTTGCTCTCTTTCTCCATTACACTTCAAAAGTGCACACCCACACCATGACACTACAATTAGGGCTTAACCTCTACGAAGAAATACTTTACAGCAAGCATCAAATGTTGGACTGCCGCTCCACAGTGGCATAGCAGCCATGAAGAAAGGAAGAAAATATGTGATAAAGGGTTTGGGCTCACAGATTTTCTTTTTGGAGCAGGTCCAATCAGTGGCCCAACTCAATTTTTCCGACAAAAATGCCATTTTTCTACATTTTCCGCCATGGCCGCCGTTACCGCCATGGACGTAACGGCCGCCATTGAAAAACGCCATAAAATGGTAACGCTGTAACGGCGGGGTTAAAAACCGCCACTGAATTCCACCATGACGCTGCCATGACCGCCATTTTGTAACAAAGAAACATCAAAACATCTCATATATTAACATTTTGAAGTCAAATAATATGTACCTAACAAAAAGAGGAGAAAACAAATAAAAAATAGGAACTGTTGCAATGGCAGAGGCGATCACCAAAAATCTTGAATACCAGAAATCTTGAAAAGGGAAGCAATGAACAAATGCCGGAAAATCTGATTTTTCCAGTGAACAGAAAAACAAAGGAGATGCCAGAAAAGATGATTTCTCCAGCAAAATGGAGCAGGTGAGCCTCCGGACTAGCTGATTTCTCCGGCAAAATGGAATGGGTGTGCCTGTGAGAATGGGAGAAACTGCGACGCAAGGTCAGACTTTTCGCGGAGAGAAGAGAGGGTGGGGAAGACGAAATTAACACGTTTTATAAAGGGTAAATGACTTTTTTACCCTTAAAAAATAATCCAAAAGGTGTTTTATAAAAAATAGAATAGGGTTTCTTTCTTTCCCCCAAATCACCAGATCGTGAATGTCTCCCTGTTTTGACTGCGAACACCTGCACCTGCCACGGTGCCAAATGCCCCATGATGTGGCGGCCGACAGCCACACTGCACCGCTCCGATTTGAGCGCTACCCGGTTTGCAAAGGAATTGTGTGCCGCGATCCAGATTCACGATTCAGCCCGATACGTAAGATTCAAGCAATTATGGCAATGATTCAAACGTTAAATCGATTCTGCCTTACAATTCGGATCCTTGTGTTACAGAATCGATTCGAATTGTTAGTATCGTATTGTGAATCGATACTAACTACACTGATCTGTATCATGTGTCCATATTTAGATACATTTGTCAAATATGGCTCTAAGAGCTGTCTTAATGATATGATTTATTGAATTTTCTTGTCCAATTTCTATAAATCTTCAGCATTCGATTAATGTAATTGGATTTATATTAACTTTTAATTTTTTAATATTACATTTGCAATATGTCCCTTCATATCTTGAGTGTTTGCTTGTCATTTTCCTCTGTTTATCAAATGCATTTGCTTTATAATTTTCATCTGAATTAGTATTTGAAATCATCATTTTAAGATATGCTCAATTTTCTATTTTTGTCAAATAGTTCATCAGCCTCATCTCATTTATCAATAGGATGAGCTAATTAAATCAGCTTAAAGTAATAATCTCCTTATGCTAGATTTTGTAATTGTTATCTTCATCGCTGTTCAACTATATAGGCGTCAATTTTATCCTATGAGGAGGACTGCAAAATTTTCATATAAGTTTAGTTTGAGAGTTTTGCTCTATTTGACCATTCTACAACATTTGATTTTAGAAGTGATCTTTTAACTACAACTTCTGCTTTTGCCAAATTTTAATGTAGATATTTTGAAGTTTAATATGGTCAATGTAAGAATACACACTTGACTTTTTCCTTTTACTGGATCGCAGGGGATTTTCATGGCTTTCTTAAGTTGAGCTTCATGGCTGTGTCACAATCAGGAAAATGAGAGTTTTGCAAGAGGTAGCCACATATTTCAAAGCCAATATGTTGTTTTTACCACTTCGAAGTTCACGTCCTGTGCAGGAAAGAAAATTAGGAAATCTGAGAGTTGATTTCTTTATGTGTTTGACCAAGCTGTATTTAAAACGTTCCAGTCCTCCTTTGTCCCTCAAAAAAAATGAAAAAACTATTTATCATCTAGTTTTTGGTACAAAAAGAAATCTATTTCAAATTTTTGGTAAACGACATAAATGTGTTGAAATTGCTAGGTTTTTAACAACAATTCTGTAGAATAGTGGTCAATTCTTACTACAAAAGCATTGGTCAAATTATTTATGAATTGGTACTGATATTAGAGAAAGTATGGCTGGACTTGTACGTTTATGACCCAAAGATTACAGGTTGAAGTTGTGGAATCAACCCTTTGCAAAATGCAAGGCTGCCTACCTACTGTAAACCCATTTTTGTGGTCCTGGAACCCCTCCCCCCTTTCTCTCTCCCCCGAATAGCGGGAGCTATATAACACCAGGTTTTCTTTTTAATTATTCAGTGATTATAGAGTGGCCCTGCTAAGCATAGTCATGCTGTGGAGTTGGGTATTCTTTGGTTCAAGTATGTATTACCTCCATTCCTATTTATCTGTCTTGAGTGAGAAGAAATTAGGCTCTTCATTAATCGGTTTCTTTTTAACTCTTAGACTGTTTAAACAATATATATATATTTTATATGATCATACGGATATTAGTGGAAGAATAATAATTGATGATGTCTTAATTTTTTATATGGACAGATGAATAGAAATAAGGGTAGAATTTATTGTTTCCTTTTTGTTTTGCGGGTCTGACCCATTTTTCCATTTTTAAAAAGGAAGAAAATGCACTTCAGGGTTCATGAATTGAGGTCTACAAGTCTTTAGAGGTCAGTTGTTTAACTTCAAGAATCACATTTTAGAAAAGCGAACTTGTTTTGCCTTTTTTTTTATATATATAATGAGATTTGCCTTTTTTAATACTATACACACTTGTTTTCTTTCAGTTTTTTTTTTTGCTTCCGGTCAACAGCACGTTCAGATTTTTAAACGCATGACACCATTGTGCTATGGTTTTAGGTCAATAACAAAATAATTTTGCGTATTTTATCGCTTGTTTGGATCTCCATTGAGATCTCCGTCGAAAAAAAAATCCTTAAAGCTTCGTTAATAGCGCATTTTTCTTTTGGTCAACAGCACGTTCAGTTTTATTTTTTGCTTCCAATTTTCATGTTACTCTTGAGGTTTTAATCTTAAGTATCACATCATTTCCAAACCCAGCCATTCTTCTCCTTTAACCCGAAATTCAGATCCTACTTACTGCCATTAAGTACAATCTAGTCTTGAGTATCACACCGGATGGTATGTTATCATTCAATAATTGTTACTGTGCACAGACATGCCCCTAAAATTCATGTCGTTATTCATTAGCAATTGGGTCATCGTTTGTTAGTGTGAGAGCAATTATGCACAATACTATGATGTTGTTTGTAAACAATTGAGCAGCCATTACTTGTGCTTATGCCATCATGTTTCCCCAACCTTTTCTCAACTCTCATTTGTAGGCAATGCAGTTGAGCAACCTTGCCTCAAGCCCCTTAGCTTGAAATATATTAATGTTGCCAAATGCCAATCGATATCAAGTATCCAATTGTGAGTGTGATTGAATCAAGAATCTCATTTAACAATATAAAGCAAAGAAACAAAAAAAAAAATAATTCAAGGACTTGCGAGCATGATAGAAGAAACTAAAGAGGAAGTTGAGAGTGATAAAGCAATAAGAACAACAAATGAAGCGTCTTTAATTTACAGTGTGTTTGGTAATATAAATTTATAACTTATTTGGCAATAAACTAATAGAGATGCTTGAGAAATAAATAAATAAATAAAAATTATAATTTTTGAAAGTTAGTTTATGAAATACTGTTATTTTAAGTAGTTTATAACTTATTGAAAGCTAACTATGAAAATTTTTTCTCATCTTTACACTTTAATTTCTAAATAATTTATGTTAACACAAAATTACTCTAACTTTTCTCTTTTAATCCGTTAAGATATTTCAGCTAGTTTCATAACAAGTCTTATCAAATTGTTCAAATCAACTAATTATAAGCTGCAAATTTTTCAACAAGCTTATCAACCATAAGCTACAAAATATAAACTTTGAGACAATTTTACCAAATATAACCTTAATTAAATCAAATCATTTTCACAAGTACAATTTTTTAATATAAATATCAAACTCAATCACTGAATTTTCATAATCTTTACCTATTTTGACCTATTAATCTTAAACCAACTTAATTTTTAGAGTTAATTAAAGTCAAGTATGTCCTCTGCACAAATAAACCTAAGCCAACTTCCTTCTCTATGATAATAAATCATAGGGCAGTCTTTTTGGGGTCATGTGATTTGATAAGGAGAGGGGAGAACATTTTTTATTTTAATAAATGCATTTAAAATTAATATTTTTTAAAATAAAATATATAAATTAATATATTATCATAAACGTAATATATTAATCATACATTTATCATCATAAAATAATATATAATTTTTTATTTTAAAATTTAAAAAATTCTCTCCTTCCCTTATCCTCTAAAACCTTTCTCTCAAACACACTCTTAAGCATTTTTCAAAGAAATTTACGAAAATTGTTAATATTACATGTTCACGGTAATAAAAACTGCTCAATAATTAAATGTAACATACAATTAATCTACTAAAGTAAGATATGTTACCCATATATGAAAATTAAAAATTTATATTTGGTTGATTAGTAATCATTGTCCTTTTTTAATAATTATCAATCAATTAGATAATATTAATTCATGGCGATAATATTTAATTCATGGCTTTTTAAGTGATTATAATAAAAAAAATTAATAATATGACAATTGATAATTAATTGCTAGTATAAAAGTTCTTTACAACCATGCATTTTAATTAAACTTTTGGGCATAATTACAATTTTTTGTCCCTCTAGTTTAAGTTATGTGCAATTTTTGTTTCTAAATTTCCTGAGTTAATTAAGTTCCTTTATTTATAAAATTGTGCACATTTAGTCGTTGTTGATTTTTTTTCTACCTAAATATTTTAAATGCTAATTTTCTACTCAAAGTTTTTATAAATTAAATTTTTATCTATTAAAAAATAACCAATTAAAACATAATTTTCTACCCAAAATTAAAATAACTCTTAAAGCTTTTCCTCTTGAAACCCTAATCTCATATCTTATAAAAAAAATTCAAGTTTATCATTATTTCCTCATTTTAGTGCTTTTGAACTTTTAGAATTACTTTATTGTCTAATTTTATTACAAATTCTCTAAAATATTGAATAAAAAAAATAAAGAATTGAGAATTTTAAGTAAATAAAGATTGATTGAGGATTAAATTTATATAATTAGCTAAAACAATTGAGAACCAAAATTGCATTTAACCAAACTAGTGAAATAAAAATGTAACTAAGTCTTATTAGCAAAAAAAAATATTATTAGCAAAATGAAACTAAGTAAAAGATTTAAAATAGCATCAAAATGTTATTAAGTCAAAATTTTAAAATTAAAATAATTAAAATTGGTGTTTACTCTCTTGACATTGTATATCCGTTTTAAAAAAAAAAGGGAAAAAATAAGCCGCCCCAAACGTGTAAAACACTTGCAAGTTTCCCCGTTAAAAGAGGCACAGATTGGCAAAATCGATTTCACACTCTTCACTCTTTCTATTCCTTTTCATGTCCTCTTTTCAATAGCCATTATTTATTTATTTTCTCTTTGAAATTTGAAAAAGTCTCATTTTTACAATTTCTCTATCTCCTTTGACTCGCCCCACACAAACCCACGTTTCCTCTCTCTCTGCCACCATCGTATAATTTCTCGCTTCCTCTCTCTCTCTCCACATTTCTCTTACAACCTCCTTTTTTCGGTGCTTCCCAACGTTGTACTTGCTGTCGGTGAGCTCCTGCATCTGATCACGGTCTTTATTTCCCCTTTTTTTTACAATTGTCATTGCTCACGTTGATACGTTAATTTGGATGCTCTGGTGTTCCAATTTGGATTTTTTTTTTAACTTTTTTGTTTTTTGCATTCTGTTACGATTATTGTGTGTGGAAAAAAAAGCATTAGCAGGGTTCTCATGAATGTATCGATTGGTGAAATGGATTAATTTTGAGGAGTTGAGAGTTTGGTTTGTGGTGTTAATTGGATGGTTATACAGGTTCTAGTGGTCATGCTTATCTGGTGTGAATGTAATTGTTGCTGTTTGAATGTATGCTACTTTTGCTATTGAATGGTCTTTGTCTTGCAAGTTGCTATTTAGTTGTGCATACCGGTTTATTGTTTGCTGGTAGAATAAGATATTGTTGTGTGTATATGTGTTCCGTTACTTAGTTTGTGTTTAGATTAACTTATTTTGGGAAAATAATTGTTTTTTTTTTTTTGGTGGCAGTTTCTGAGAGAGGTTTAGTTTGTGAAGTAATTTATTGCGAATTAATAAATTATCCTTTGGGCGTTGAATGAGTTGTTAACTCCTTGGTATCTGTTTCCTGTTGAAGCATTTCCGGGTAAGAATCAGATCATACAGAAACCTTGATTTGGACCTGAATAAGGGGATCAAATGAGACAAAATGCAGGAATTTATTGGTAATAATGGAAAGAATCAACTATGATTCAATTACAGGTTATTTTGAAGAGATTCTTGTGCAGACCGTTCTATGTCTTCTGTTAAAAGTTCTTCGCATGGGCTTCAAAATAATGGAATTCCAAGTAAAGGCTCTGAGATTCTTGGCAGGTAATACATATTATATAACATAGGACATGAAATCTTTTTTTTTTTTTTTTTCTGTTGAGTGTTGTTTTGGATGCTGATATAGTTCCTACTGTTAACTCCTTGATTATTACGATATGATATTGATAAAATTTCCATCTCCTTTTCATAGTTGCCCTTTTAAGATTAGCATTATATTCTGCAATTGTTACCTTAATGTTCTTTCTTATACTCTAGCTTTGCATTTTATAGGTCAGATGCATTGACATTCCAATCTACAGTGAATCAGTAAGAATAATACCTTCAGTTTACTGAGTATGATTACAACCTACCTGAATTCATCGAACGTCTTGTTCTGGCATATTCAATGTCATTTTTTAATGATAAAAGTAGACATTCATTAAGATCAAGAGAATATATTTACAAATAATTTGGAGGATACAGGATCCTCCTTAAGGGAAGTGATTATAGTCCCTTATATGTTGCTTATTTTTTATGTGTTTAGTCTTGATTTATATTAAAACTTACAATCTGTTCTGTTCAAGTCATGATGTGATAAATTTCTTGATGTTTGCATCATAGGCACAATTTTGAAACTAAACTGGCTCAAAGAAATTTCAAAAGCAATGATGCACTCGATCACATCAAGGACCTAGACGCCATGGTAATAAGTTATAACAGTATTCTAATTTTTTGGACATTCAGGCACACGAAAAAAATTGCTAGAAGAGATCATGATACATTTATTTGTTTTTAAAATATACAAGATATTTCATACAATTCCATCAGATATTAAGTTTATTTACAGGAACTTTATTCACAAGCAAGGGTTCAAGAAGAGGAGATCCTCTCCCTTCGTGAACAGATTGCTATTGCCTGTATGAAGGTATGAAATATACACTGGTGTGGAAGTTACACCTACATCTTTGGCATTGAAGGGAATTAACTAAATTTAATGGTGGCAGGAACTACAGCTGGTGAATGAGAAATGCAAACTGGAGAGGCAATTCTCTGAGCTAAGAATGGTTAGTTGATGTCTTTGTTATAGTTATATTTGCACTCTAGACAGCTTCATTTTTAAACTTCACTTGTCATATATGTTGGTTAGGCCGTTGATGACAAGCAAAATGAAGCCATCTCATCCGCATCTAATGATTTAGCTCGAAGGAAAGGATATCTTGAAGAAAATTTAAAACTTGCTCATGATTTGAAAGTAAGTCTAGTTTCAGGAGGACATCTGCATTTTATTTACCCGTTTTTGTTATTCTTGTTTAGCTACTTTTATGACAATTTTTTGATTGGGTTGATTTGATGGAATTTTATAATCACCTAGTAGTTAGTAGGGGTCTCTACTCTCTAGACTTAGGTTTTTTAAATGGAATAATGATTTTCTTGTGTTGTTTGAATTATTGCAAGTTTCATTTTAGAAAGAACCCAAAATAATGGTTGCTTGACTTCAAAGTTTACAATTTATTTGTTGATTTTGTTTCTACTAGCATAAATTGCAAATGTTTATTAAAAGGCCCGAACTGAAGTTGGGTTGAAAGTAAATTTAATTATTTTTAGCTTCTAAGTATCCCCGAAAGCTTACACCCTTTGGTATTGACTTAGAAATGATTATGTGTGTGTGTCACACACACACCACATACCCACATAAATGAAAGCCAAAGGGGGCCTGAAGGATGTACGAAAGAACAAGCCCATCAACCTTGTGTTCAAGTTTAATTATGTAGAGTGGGAGTGTCAAGAATAAAAACATCTTTTCATTTATCAGCTTAGGATTAATAAAGATGAACTCATAAGGCCCAATGATTTTTCAGATAAATCTTCTTATCCACTATGTGTATTTCCCCAAAGTTTCCAAAATATTTTCTCAACTGAAAAACATCCTTTTTTCTGCAAATACTCTCTTGGCCAGTGGTGTGGAACCTCTTTGGGCATATAGTATTATGGTCATCGTCATCCTACTAAGAGGCAGGATTACACTAACATATAACCGCCAGAATCCCACTCCTAGAGCAATGATTGGTCACCAGTGTCCACAGATGGCACTCACAGCCACATTGATGGGTACTCGGTACTATCCATCCTTGTCACAAGCCAAAAACTTGAATATTTCATAATGTAGTTTCTAATCAAAGTTTAAATCTTACCAGAAATTGTAGTATAATGCAGTGTAGTGGGTAAAGTTCGTTCCTGGAGAAAATTGATGTTAAACTAAACAAATTATAAAGCCAAGATTAACAGGTGGGTATAGAAAAGGGAGTAAAGCGAGAAAAAATATAATAAAATAGGGCAACCCAATGCATGAGACTCCTACCTAGTGGGGTTTGGGGAGGATAGATGTATGTAGCCTTTCCTCTACAAATGGAGAGACTGTTTCTAGAATTTGAATTTGTGACCTCACAAGTTACAATGCAACAACCTTCCATGATGCCAAGAAAAAAAATAAAAAATGCTAATTATATTATTGTGGAGACAAGATACAATGACGAGAGACTAATTAAACAATCATTTTACCCCACTGTTCTGGGGCTGTTTCTTTATGAAATTTGTTGTTTGGCATCTTTGGAGAGAGTTGGATGTGTCTTAAGTTCGATGATCAGTTTTGCTGATTTTGCAGCAGTAAAGAAGAGAAAGTTGTGTCAGTATGCTATTCTTGTTCCATATGGTCGGTCCATAACTATGAAGCATCGGCTTCACATGGACACAGATACCGAGACGTGTTCAGTGCATGTCGGTGAGGTGTCGGAAACGTGTCCAACACCATGATACTACCTTGGACATCAGTGTCCAGGCTTACTGCATAATTCTTGTATCTTTAAGAAGAGTTATCTGAAGGTGAAACTTCTTTGGGATGGGATAAGGCATTTAACTTCTGCATGGTGTAAAACTGTGTGTCTTTTAGAGGGGTTTCCTACATGTTAAGGGGTTGGGTAGCTTTGCTTCAGTGATATTTATCTTAAGCTATTTTGTTTTAATTTTCTTTTGCAAAGGAGGATCTCTTATCCTCCAATTTCTCTTTAATCTTTTTCCTTTATGTTAATGAATTTATTTTATTAAAATTACATTCTCCTTCTGCCAATCACATAGATAACTTAAAGGGCCTACAGGCTATACCAGTCATTCCTTAGTATGTCTTTAAGCAGCAAAGCCCTTCACTGCCCGATTCCTATCCATCAAGCCATCTTGCTTTGCACATGTGATGCAACCCAACAAATGCATGAAGATGAGAAAAATATTGGTTGATATAAGAAACAGTCGCTTTTTTGCATGTGATCAAATCTTAAATTATATTTATCATAATTATTGCTCTTGAATTTGGGATTTGACCTCACTTAACCCCAAAAGCTAGCTTGTAAAGTGAGGATTACCAAGCCTTTATAAACTCTACTTTGGCCATATCTATGGTCGATGTAGGATCTCAACAATCATAAGGACTCCTAATCATTAATCACAAAGTTCTACTAGGTGTTTGGAAAATGAGACAATTACATGGATCATACACCTCTCAATTATTTTTAGAAATCCTTGAAGATCTTGCTTGTGTGAACCCTAAGCAATTAAAGATATCATGAGAATCATAAGAAAATTTAAAGGAAGAACACTAGCAAGCTTTATTAAAACTCAAGACTGATATATTTGTGCAAGCTTTATTAAAACTCAGACTGTTATATTTGTCAAAAATAAACCATGTCTTGGGCTTCAAAATCACCCTTAGCCTAGATGGAAGATCTAGCTTAACATGGCCATGGAATCAATGGATGCAAAAAGGTCAAGTGTAATTATAGAGTAAAGGGATTTAAAGATAATTTCTTTTTTTTTTTCATGTGTTGAATCTTCTTTATTTTTGAAGCTTTAATATCAGTGGAGAAACTTGCTCTCTTGCATCTCCAAGATGGCTCATTGATGGCTTTCTCCCTTTGATCTAGCTTTCCTCTAATGGTTTTTATCAACAACTCCAAATGTCATCCTCCAAAATGATGCCTTCACTATGCCATTTGTCTTATCATTATAATTAAGGTGACCCATTGTTGTGTGCTTTAGGCATTGGGTCTTTAGTTTCTGTACCTAAGCTCAAATAGATGTTTGATGGGTCTTCTTTTGATAATTTAGATGTTAGAAGGTGAAAGTTGAACTATTTTATCATAATTTGTGTTAGAATCTATTAGAATCTTATAAATATAGTAACTGTATATTTTGTAATTATGTACTCTTCGCTATAAATTGGAATAACTCTGTTGTGTCCTAATACACACGGATTCAATATTTTTTCTCTCAACATGGTATCTAGAACTTAAGGAGAGGCAACCCTAATCCGTTTTTTTCCTGGTGGACCCACTGTTCACCGGTGCCATTTTTTTTCGAAAACTGTCTCAATTGCGGTTTTCGAAATTTAACCCTCCTGTTCTGCACCACCACCACCGTTCGCCACTGTTCTGCTTCCACCACCGTCATCTAACCTCCGATCACTACGGCAATCCCGCCGTTGTGGTCACCTTTGTCAGATCGGCCAAACCCCACTGACCGCGCCTTCATTGGAATAACTCTGTTGTGCCCTAATACATACGGATTCAATATTTTTTCTTTCAACATGGTATCTAGAGCCTAAGGAGAGGCAACCCTAATCCGTTTTTTTCCTGGTGGACCCACTGTTCACCGGTGCCATTTTTTTTCGAAAACTGTCTCAATTGCGGTTTCTGAAATTTAACCCTCCTGTTCTGCACCACCACCACCGTTCGCCACTGTTCTGCTTCCACCACCATCATCTAGCCTCCGATCACTACGGCAACCCCGCCGTTGTGGTCACCTTTGTCAGATCGGCCAAACCCCACTGACCGCGCCTTCATTGGAGTCCTCACGCGCCCCCACGTGCCACCTCTTCTCTGTCGCATTTTCTCACGCTGTCGACTAGGGCTTGCTCGCCCCTCTCTCCTCTACTTGTATCCGGTCTCGGTTGGTTGTTTGGACATCTATTCAACCTTGTTTTGCCTTTTTTTGCTGCATTTATTCTCTCTCTTCTCACTGACCAATGGCCTCTAGCACTCCAAAAGCTGACACTCAGATTTTTACGAACCATGTCACTACACCTCTCGCTTATGAGCTGTTGGATGGTAAGCACTACTCCTCTTGGGCTTCTCACATTGAACTTTGGCTTGTTGGAAAGGATTATGAGACCCATCTCACCTAAATAGCAGACGATGTCCTAGAAGACGACCGTCCTCTGTGGAGAAAAGTTGACGCTCAGTTGTGCTGTATCATCCGAGCCACGATTCACCCATCTCTTCGTGATGTCTTTCGCACTCACAAAACTTGCAAAGCTGTTTGAACACAAGCCCAACAACTCTTTATAAACAATTCTCAGCGACTCTACCAAGTTTGTGAAGACCTTATGACTATCCTTAGTGCCCATTAGATTAAGGATTCTATGTCGACCTACCTTGACTCGGTATATAGCCTTCTCTGTGAGTTCAATGAATTACTTCCTTCCGCTGCCACTCCAGATGCGAAATTTGACAATCGCAAGAAGTTTTTCATGTCCGGTTTGCCCCCAGAATATTCTCCTGTTCGTGATCAGATCTTGGGGAGCCTCACAGAAGCTACAATGGACAGTACCTGGGCAACCCTCCTTTTTGTTCTCCCCAAAACCTCCTCTGAGCCTTTGCTCCCTACTCTTGTTGACTCTTCTGCTTCGGTTTCTCGCAACGCCAACTGACCTCCATAGCGAACAGGTGGCAAAGGACGTCCTTGGTGTGATCATTGCCACCGACCAGAACACACAATTGATAAGTGCTGGACCCTACATGGTTGACCTCCTCGCACTGCCCAGGTAGCCCAAAATTCTGTCTCCTTCGTCTACTTCTGCTCCGCCATTGGCTTTGGATTTAAATCCATCACCTTCCTATGATGATTTCCTGAAATGGTATTGATAGGTACTGAACAAAGAATAGATTTCTTTATTGGATCTTCTCTGAACAAAAGAAGAAAATAGGAAACTGTACAACACCTTCCTACTGGAATTTCGAGAGTTCCAGCCTCTCCCTCCAATCTCCGATTTCTTCAAAAGATCTCTTCCCCCCTTTCTAACTAACTATTTATAGAGTATGAAACAAAATACGGTTATAACTAATACAGTTATGATTGACAATTCAAATCCTCTACATCTATCTTATTCTTACGCTTCCTCTGATAAACTTTCATTAAAGATGGCCTACGCTTATCAGGTATGAAGATCGTCAGGCTTCCAGTTCCACTGCTGTTGTTGTACACACTGGTAATTGCTTTGTTGGTGTCTCTCACTCTTCAAGCCCTTGGGTACTTGACTCTAGGGCCACCGATCATATCACTGGTAATAAATCCCTTTTTTTCTTCTCTTTTTACTTCTGGTTATTTACTTTCTATTACCATGGCAAATGGCTCTCAAACTCAGTCCCATGTTGTTGGTGTTGTTCCTTCTCTTTCTATTAACAATGTCCTTTATGTTCTCGGGGCTCTCTTTAATTTATTGTCCATTAGTCAACTTACCCGGTCTCTTGATTGTATCATCTCTTTTACCAAAAATTCTGTTTCCTTGCAGGACCAGACTACGTGGAGGACGATTGGCTCTAGATGTGAGTCCCATGGCCTCTATTAGCTTAACAAGCCCTTTCTTGTTGGTTCGGCAGCAACATCTCCGCTTCTGATTTATGCTCGATTAGGACATCCAAGTCTTGATAAGTTGAAACAGCAATACCCTAGTCTTTTTAAGTTAGAGTTTTTGTCCTGTGAGTCATCTTGGCAAACATGTTCGTAATTATTTTTCTAGTTGTATTATGAGTCGGGCTTTGTTTCCTTTTGTTTTAGTTCATTCAGATGTTTGGGGTCCAAGTCATATTTCCTCTACATTAGGTCTAGATATTTTGTTACTTTTATAGACGATTTTTCCCATTGTACTTGGTTATATTTAATGAAAGAACGTTCAGAAATTTTTTCAAATTTTCAGTATTTTTTTTATGAAATAAAAAATCAATTTGGTATTCCTATTCGCACTTTAAAAAGTGATAATGCACGTGAATGTCTATCTACTCAGTTTCAGACCTTTATGGCATCATACGGTGTGTTACATCAAACATCTTGTCCTCATACCTCCCAACAGAATGGAATTGCAGAACTCAAAAATAGGCATTTACTTGAGATCACCCGAACTCTTCTTCTCCACTCTCATGTTTCTCATCAGTTTTGGAGTGATGCAGTACTTATTGCATGTTATTTCATTAATAGCATACCTTCATCTGTTTTATAAGGTAAAATCCCTCATCAAGTTTTATACCCCAACCACTCTTTTCATCCTTTACCATCTCGGGTCTTTGGTTCTACATGTTTTGCTCATGCTCTTGGTCTTGGCATTGACAAGCTCACTTCTTGGTCTCATAAGTGTGTTTTCTTCGGGTACCCACGATCTCAAAAAGGATACAAGAGTTATTTCCCTACTCTTCGCAGGTATTTCATCTCTGCTGATGTTACTTTTTTCGAGTCCATTTCATTCTTTGAGCTTAGAACATCTATATTCGAGTCTTCCCCGTCCACGACTGCCCCTAGTTCAATCCTTTTCTGTCCTCCAGAGGAGTCTTCATCCCCTCCACACCCATCTCCTCTACCTTTGCAGGTATATCAGCGTCATACTCGTCCTGTATTGGAGGTACTAAGCACTAACAACACCATGGACTCACCTTTGGAGCCACCTCTTTTGCCTTATCTTTTGGTCCTGCCCTTTGAACCTGACATTCCCATTGCCCTTCGAAAAGGTATACGTTCTATTCGTAATCCTTCTCATCATTATATTTCTTTAAGTTATCATCGTCTTTCTCCTTCCTATTATTCCTGCCTTTCTTCCTTGTCCTCTGTTTCTATTCCTAAGAGTGTAGGAGATGCATTTGCCCATCCAGGATAGCAACAAGCTATGCTAGACAAGATGTGTGCATTAAAGAACAGTGGGACTTGGGATCTCGTTCCTCTACTACCAGAGAAGTCAGTTGTTGGTTGTCGGTGGGTGTATACAGTCAAGGTTGGTCCAGATGGCAAGGTTGACCTGCATAAGACCCATCTCGTCGCCAAAGGCTATACTCAAATCTTTGGGTTGGATTATGGCGACACTTTCTCTCCCATGGCCAAATTACCCTTTGTGCGACTATTCGTGTCCATTACTGCCCTACGTCATTGACTTTTCTATCAGTTGGATATCAAGAATGCTTTCTTATATGGTGATTTGCTCGAGGAAGTCTACATGGAGCAACCTCCTTGCTTTGTTGCTCAGGGGGAGTCCTCTGATCTTGTATATAGACTGCGAAAATCTTTATATAGCTTCAAGCAGTCACTCAAAGCATGGTTCATCAGATTTAATACTGTGATTCAACAGTTTGGCATGGCTTGGAGTGAGGCTGACCATTCTGTCTTCTATCGTCACTCACCTACCAGTTGCATCTACCTGGTTGTTTATGTTGATGACATTATTATCACAGGTAGTGACTATCGTGGCATCGCACAGATGAAACATCTCTTCAAACATTTTCAGACAAAGGATCTTGGCAAACTCAAATACTTTTTGGGAATAGAAGTAGCACAGTTCAAAAATGGGATCATCATTTTCTAAAGGAAGTATGCAATGGATATTTTGGAAGAAACAAGAATGTTAACTTCCAAGCTAGTCGACACTCCCATGAATCCCAATGTTAAGCTCCTGCCAAATCAGGGGGAGCCTCTTCTAGATCCTGAAAGGTACAGACAATTAGTAGGGAAGCTAACTACCTCACTGCTACCCGTCCAGATATCTCATTCGCAATGAGTGTAATAAGTCAATTTCTCAACTCTCCATGTAAGGAACATTAGGATGCAGTGACTCGCATTGTTATATACATCAAAGGAGCTCCAGAAAAAGGTCTTCTGTATGAAGACAAAGGACACACTTGATTGTAGGGTATTCTGATGCAGATTGGACAGGATCTCCCGTAGATAGAAGGTCCACCTCTGGATTCTATATATTTGTCGGAGATAACCCTGTCTCTTGGAAAAGTAAGAAGCAGAATGTTGTAGCCCGGTCCAGTGCAGAAGTGGAGTATCGAGCTACGGCTATAGCGAGTCAAGAGCTTATATGGCTCAAACAGTTGCTTCAAGAACTAAAGTTCGGAGAGGTTACATATATATCACTTATATGTGATAATCAAGCCACTATGCATATTGCTTCAAATCCAGTATTCCATGAGAGGACAAAACACATTGAAATCGATTGTCACTTTGTCAGAAAGAAAGTCATGTTCGGGGAAATATCTACTAGTTTTGTCATTTTCCATGACCAACTAGCAGACATATTTACTGAGTCACTAAGGAGTCTTTGGATTAACTACATATGTAACAAGCTTGATGCATATGACCTATATGCTCCATCTTGAGGAGGAGTGTTAGAATCTATTAGAATCTTGTAAATATAGTAACTGTATATTTTGTAATTATGTACTCTTCTTTATAAATTGGAATAACTCCGCTGTGCCTTAATACACACGGATTCAATATTTTTTCTCTCAACAATTTGAAAAGAAGATTCCAAAGACTCATATATGTATTTGCATGTACACTATGGGCTTATGGGCCTAATACTCACTAATATACATTAACATGGGACATCTTTTCACCATACTTGAACCTCTCACTATAGGTATTACTAATTCTTACAGTACTGGAATCACTTTCTTTGCACTTTTATAGCTCAAGTGCTCTTTTATTATAACAAGGTCAGAAACAACACAAACTTGTTCTAGAACTAAACTTTCTTCAAATCTTCCATTGAGCCTTCATTTAATTGACTCTAATCTGCTATTAAAGATCTAAATGATAAAGAAATTCATCAATTTAATTAAAGGCATACATTAATAGAGATTATAAATATCTCCTTAAATCTACCAAATCAAGCACTAGTTATATCCTTATTCTGCAAACTATCAATACTCTATGCGAATTTTTGGTTGAAATCACCCTTTACTTTATTCATGTATTTCTGGTTGCTATTACTGATGTACATCCTTAATCTAGAATGTAGATGATGAGAGATATATCTTCATGTCATCTATGCTGGGGTTGCTGGCTGAATATGGTCTTTGGCCTCGTGTTATGAATGCCTCTTCAATATCCAACTCTGTAAAGGTATGAAATATATGGTTCTGGATATGATAGGTTAAACATGATATGATATGGACTAATTTTTGCCATGTGCTGTACTCATGCTACTAGTTACACCTACATAATTGTGAAGTGGCCCTTGAATGTCAATTTTGGTTTGAGTTGACAAGGAATTCAAGGACATGGATTAAGAAAGGTTGAATGATGCTGAAAGGCCAAAACATTGATCTATAGATTGTTCATATGTATTTGGTCTAATGCAGAGCCGTTTGCTTCAGAATTGAATATGGTACCGAAATATCTGCTTCTAATTAGTGGATTCCAGTATTTGTTTGTTGATGATGAATAGAAAATTGACCAATAAGAAGATTTGATGAGAGCCTTGCTTCATGTTTGTGTGATGATATTACATTCATCTCCCATGAGATTTGTGGATGTTGCACCAAACACCTCTCCTGTTATGAGCCGGAAAGATACTGCATACTGCATCGTGTTAGTTGATACCCTCTCAGACAGTGTTTGATAATGAATAAAATGACAATTTTAGCTCAACTATCGAGTATTGAGATACCTTGAACCTTGCGCAGCCACCTCTGTAATCATTTTCGGGCATTTACAGCAACTTCCCTCTTCTAAAAGGCTTTAATCTGTGATCTGATACATACTGTTGATGGAGATAACAAAGGTGTTGGAGTTGTCAAACTTGAGAGTTTACATAAACTCATTGATAGTCTGTAAACCCAACTCCTAAACTCATCAAAGTTTACTAAATGCTTAAATAATTTTTACAAAAATTGAATCCTAGTATCTAAATAATATATAATACAAAAATATAATAAAATCTAGCTTTCCAACTTTATAATAAAGTGTTGAGATATTGTTAAGATATTGTACAGATTTAATGTAGATATTGTTAAGATATTGTACAGATTTAGTGTAGATTTATTCTATTTACAGATTTATTCCATTTATAGTGATAGATATGATTAGATGTAATTGCTGTTTTTTAGGAAGAATAGTATCTCGCATTGTATATATATTATAAGCCATTATGTACAGTGAGATATCAATCAGAAATATATTTTTATCATCTTTCTTCCAATTTGGTATCAGAGCTCCCGACCTGGGAGCCTGAACACCTTCCGCTGCATTCCAGCCTTCATTGCTGGACAATTTCTACAACCTTAATTGTTGTCTCTTCCCTAACGCCTCTTTTTTTTTTGTTTTCCCAATATTTCTTCCGTCGTATTCTCCCACACCCACCACTGTTACCGCTGCCGGCCAACTTTCTGGCCATTTTTTCTCCAACCTCTCTTTCATATCCGACCACCGCAGCATCACTCTGACCTACCTCCGGCCACCCTTTACCTATGGCAGAATCCGAAACACCTAAAATCACCCCTCAAACCACCACTAATGCTACCCATTCCACTTCAACTTCCTCTCCCAATCCACCTACACCTTTAAATCCTAATGACCTTCCTGTCCTACACCCTACCTATCACTTGAATGGGAAAAATTATTTGCAATGGGCTCAAGTTATCCGGCGTACTCTCAAAGGTCGTCGAAAATTATCCCACATTGAGGGAAATCCTCCTACCAAGGAAGACCCTCACTTTGAGGCTTGGGATGATGAAGATTCTCTTATTATGACATGGCTGTGGAACTCTATGATACCCGATGTAAGTCGTAATTGTATGTTCCTATCCTCTTCTCGTGAGATTTGGGATGTCCTTCACCAGACTTTCTCTAAGAAGCAAGATATTGCTACTTGTTATGAGTTGAAGACGAAGATTTTCTCAATCAAGCAAGGAGCAATGACTATGACAGATTACTATGGGATTCTTACTGGTCTATGGGCTGAATTGGATCAATACCAGAATCTGCAGATGGAATGTAGCAAAGATGCTTCCATCCTGACAGATTTTGTTAACAGGGATAGGGTCTTTGAATTTCTCTCTGGCTTGAATCCAGAATATGACCCTATTCGGGTTCAGATTCTGGGTAAAGAGAAACTACCCTCATTGTCTGAGGTGTTTTACACTGTTCGAGGCGAGGAAAGTCGTAGAGCTGTTATGCTTGACGACAAACCCACGGCCGGATCCGCCTTGGTTGCAGGTAAGACAACAAAATCAGGACCTTCTTCAACCTCTTTGAAGCCTTCCCGAGATAATCGTTGGTGTTCATATTGCAAGAAGCCTGGACACACTAAGGAGAATTGTTTTAGACTTCATGGCAAGGACAATGTTCTTAGTCGCATGGGAGGATTTCGAGGCTTGTCCCCTAGTCAGGCCAATCTGACTACCTCAGAAAATATCATCACATCAGAACATACAGCAGTGGAGAATGAAGTTCCAGCCCTTAGTAAAGATGAGCTTGCCCACTTGAGAACTCTCCTCACCTCTCTTAGTAAGCCCTCTGGCTCTTGCTCTCTAACCTTGTCTGGTAAGAATTTCTATTCTCAATCTTTTAATGCTTCTAGTATTGTACCTGAGGATTTATGGATAATTGATTCTGGTGCAACTGACCACATGACCTTTCACACCCCACATTTTATTTCTTACTATTCCACCTTAGGCACACGCCATATAACTGTAGCTGATGGTTCCCGTACCTCAGTTGCAGGCTCCGGTATTGTTTCCCTTCACCCTTTCCTACACTTACATGATGTGCTTCATGTCCCTCAGCTCTCCCATAACCTTATTTCTGTTCATAAACTTCTCAAAGACAATAATTGTGCAGTCATTTTTTTCCGTTCCCATTGTGTCTTTCAGGATCTTGCCACGGGGAGGACGATTGGAGTTGCTAAGGAAGCGGGAGGGTTATACTATCTCCTCAAGTTACAAGCTATAGGTGGTTCCAGTCAGAGGGTACTTTCTTCATGTCACCAAACAAGTTCAGAGTCTACAGTCTCTCAAATTTGGTTACAGCACAAGCGTCTTGGTCACCCGCCTTTTTCCCTACTTAGGTCTATGTTTCCATCATTGTTTGTCAACCAGTCAGTTGAGTCTTTTCATTGTGATGTTTGTCAATTTGCAAAACACCATCGTGTGTCATTTCCATCTAGTTCTAATAAATGTGACGAGCCTTTCACACTTATTCACTCTGATGTTTGGGGTCCTGCTTCTATTCCTAATATCTCTGGCACTAAATGGTTTGTTTCCTTTATTGATGATTGCACAAGAGTAACCTGGTTGTTTTTAATGAAAGATAAATCAGAAGTTTTTCAATTGTTTGTCCAATTTTATAATTTGATTCAAACACAATTTAGCAAAACTATCAAACGTTTGCATTCTGATAATGGTAGGGAGTATGTGAATCAACAATTTTCTGATTTTGTTAAAAAGCATGGCATTATTCATGAATTTACATGTGTGGATACTCCACAACAAAATGGTGTGGCTGAGAGAAAAAATCGGCATTTATTAGAAGTCACTAGGGCCTTACTTTTTCAGATGTCTGTCCCTAATTCATATTGGGGTGAAGCAGTTTTAACTGCTACCTATTTAATTAATCGCATGCCTTCTCGTGTTCTTGGAAATATGAGCCCTGTGCAACTTATGTTATCCCATTTCCCCTCTGTTCCTATTATGCAAACTTTACAACATCGAATCTTTGGGTGTGTGGTTTTTGTTCATGTGCATCGTCAACATCGTCATAAACTTGATCCCCGAGCTGTTAAGTGCATTTTCATAGGTTATGCTCCTAATAAAAAGGGATACAAATGTTTTCACCCATCCAGTCGTCGGTTCTTCACTTCCATGGATGTCACCTTTCATGAGACTGAGTCTTTCTTCCGTCCTCAGCTTCAGGGGGAGAGTCTTTCAGAAGCTGAGTCATTTATCCCTGAGTCATTCCTATTTTTTCCTCCAACACAAGAGCCTTTACCTTTCACTAATACGCAAGAGCCATTACTTCCTACTAGAAACTCATCTGACTCTACCCAAGAATTGATACCCTCTACTCCACCACCTAAAGCAGCTACACCAACTTTGGTGTATCAAAGGAGAAGGAAACCTGAATCAAACCAACAGCAACTTCAAGAGTCTGAACCTATGGTAAGTATTGAAGGTACTAACTCTTTCATTCCTGACTTGGAAAATGATCCTTTGAATACTTGTGAGCCTAACCTAGATACTCTACCAATTGCAGTGAGAAAAGGAAAAAGGACTTGTGCCAAGTATCCTATTTCTCAATTTGTCTCCTCTAAACACCTTTCTTTGCAGCACCAGAGTTTCATTGCAGCCATAGACTCTATCCAAATCCCAACCTCCGTACAAGAAGCATTGAAGGATGAGAATTGGGTTCAAGCTATGAATGAGGAGATGAGAGCATTAGAGAAGAATGGAACTTGGGAGATTGTTGAGAGACCTGATGGCAAAAGATCAGTTGGATGCAGATGGATATATACAGTGAAATATCAATCTGATGGTTCATTAGATCGATATAAAGCAAGATTAGTCGCAAAGGGATATACACAGACATATGGGATTGACTATGAGGAGACGTTTGCCCCAGTAGCCAAGATGAACACAGTCAGAATCTTGCTCTCCCTTGCTGCTCATTTTGGATGGGAGTTACATCAATTTGATGTAAAAAATGCTTTTTTACATGGAGACCTAGAGGAGGAGGTTTACATGGAGACTCCACCTGGTTATAACATCACTGGCGAGACAAACAAAGTGTGTAGGCTGAAAAAGGCATTGTATGGATTGAAACAATCCCCTCGCGCTTGGTTTGGAAGGTTCACGAAGACGATGACTTCATTGCGATACAAACAGAGTCAAGGAGATCATACCCTCTTCTTTAAACATACACTAGATGGAAAACTCACTATTTTATTAGTGTATGTTGATGACATTGTCATAACGGGTGATGATTTGGTTGAGCAGCAGCTTCTGAGGAAAAAATTAGCAGCTGAGTTTGAAATGAAAGATCTTGGGAAACTGAAGTATTTCCTCAGAATTGAAGTTGCCTACTCTAAACAAGGTATCTTCATTTCACAAAGGAAATACATCTTAGATCTTCTCAAAGAAACTGGAAAGCTTGGTTGCAAGGCTACTGGTGTTCCCATTGAGCAAAACCATCGAATAGGAAGTGATGAGGAGAGTCCTAAAGTTGATAAAAGACTATACCAGAGACTAGTAGGAAGATTGATATACCTAGCACATACTAGACCAGATTTGGCATATGCTGTTAGTATAGTCAGTCAATTTATGCATGATCCAAGGGTTAGACATATGCAGGCAGTTGATAGGATCCTACAGTATCTTAAGGCCACACCTGGAAGGGGATTGTTGTTTAAAAGGGGTGGAAGCCTATCCATGCAAATATACACCGATGCTGACTACGCAGGATCCCTTATTGATAGAAGATCAACATCAGGTTATTGCATGTTTCTTGGAGGGAATTTGGTGACTTGGAGAAGTAAAAAGCAAAATGTTGTTGCTAGATCAAGTGCTGAGGCAGAATTTCGGGCTATGGCACAAGGTGTTTGTGAATTGCTATGGATGAAGATCATACTAGATGACTTGAGAATAAAATATGAAGCTCCTATGAAGATGTTTTGTGATAACAAATCAGCAATCAGTATTGCTCATAATCCGGTCCAACATGACAGAACTAAGCATGTTGAGATTGACCGACACTTCATCAAAGAGAAGTTGGACAGCGGATTAATAGCCACAACACATGTTCCTTCAGGGCTCCAACTGGCAGACATGTTAACTAAAGGACTTCCCATGGAACGGTTTCAAGAACTTACATGCAAGCTGGGAATGATAGATATCTATTCACCAGCTTGAGGGGGAGTGTTGAGATATTGTTAAGATATTGTACAGATTTAGTGTAGATATTTTTAAGATATTGTACAGATTTAGTGTAGATTTATTCTATTTACAGATTTATTCCATTTATAGTGATAGATATGATTAGATGTAATTGCTGTTTTTTAGGAAGAATAGTATCTCGCATTGTATATATATTATAAGCCATTATGTACAGTGAGATATCAATCAGAAATATATTTTTATCATCTTTCTTCCAATTTAAAGGACACTATAATAACAAAATGTGATAATACAAGCTAAATCAGGTAACTTACTTATCAATTATGAAGTTTGCAATCCATATATGTTTCAGAAAATAAATTAATCTTCTAGTTTAACAATGGCCTATGAAGCATAAATACTTCTCGTATTTGAAGTGTTGCAGTGTTGGGCACATTTTCATCATAACACTTCCCCAAACAATTGTTTGACACATGTTGAACACTCTTTAACAGGTGACCAAAAAAAATATTATTTTTTGGACACCTCCATATGGCTCGGGCACATAAGCTGATATTCTAATATAGATGGATACACAGTAACACACTAGTATTATTAAACTATTTTATTTTTTAAAATTTTAGGAAAGTTAGCATAAAATATAATGTAAAATATTAAAAATTAATGTCTCCTAATTTTCTTATAAGTCTCCTTATCATAGAAAAAAAATATAAAACTTACAATATTAGTTTGAAAAGATGAACATGCCTTGTTTTGGAAGATATAATTTTACCTTGTTTGGAGATTTTGACAAAGTGCTTACACTGTAAAATTATGTCTCGTAATATTTCTTTTCACAAACTTATATATATATGTGTGTGTGTGTGTGTGTGTGAACCATTACATTTTGAAATTTTGTTATATAATAGACACCCCCTAATGCAAAATACAGCACCCAAGGACAGGAATCTAATAAATCAGTTTTTCTTTAATATTGCCTATGTAATGAATCCTTGTTTTCTTGATAAATTTTACTATTTTTGGATGCTTAAAATCAGCCCTCAAGGTTGATGTTAATATTTTTCAGAAAAATAACTTCTAGTTTTTAGATCTCTCTATGAGTAAATCATGACTTTAGTATTTAACTTTGTAATTCCTTTACAGTCTCGCCCCTAATGTAATGAATATTTCATTTTAGTTCCTGAGTTGCTGAAAAATTTGTCATGTTAGTCTGTCATTATTAAACATTAATAACACTTAACAAGTGTTCGCATGTTAAATGTCAACTTAACATGTTAACTGCCAATTGGACTAGTATTAGAGGTACATTAATGCAGATTTAGAGCAAATGGGGGAGAGAAGACAACTTTAGGTTTTTGTGTGAGAGGGGATGAATTTGAATGTAAATTTTAATAATTACTCAGTAAGAGTTACACAATACCTTTTCCGGGTGTCACATGCACTTAATGTATCAAGTTGAAATTTAACTTGCTAGATAAATAATTTCGTTGGTTTAAGAACTAACTTGGAATATTTTTGAACAAGTTGAGAACTAAAATGAAGTCTATTAAGTTAGGAACGAAACTGAAATGATATTACAAAGTTATGGACTAAAGTGGTGATTTACTCACTTCTCTATAGTTGTGTTTGACCCAACTTTTAAGGTGTAATGAAACATAAAAATGTTGGGCCAAAAGCTACCTAAATTAGAGAACAAATAGTTTCATAAAGGTAAGATAAATTTCCTAAGCAAAAGATAAGGTTCCTAACTACACACAATCACTGAAAAATAAGAAAACATAATTATCCTCATATATTATGCATCATTCTCTTCCCCTAAATATTTTGTAGATATTCTAAAATTTTGTATTGGTCCTTGTCCAGCATTTACATGATCAATTACAATGGAGGATACGGAGTTCACATGTAAGTTTTTACACTTCTGATGCACATTTAGGAGTCATTTATGCCCTTAAGCATTATAATTTGTATTGCTATCTTTGCCAAATCTGTGTGAAACCTGTGGGTTTAAACATCTAACTGAAAAAATTATAATATCACATATTTGTAGTTAACACACTGATGTTACATTTAAAATATTGCTCACATTTTTTACATGTTCCTTGCTTCATGAATTTTGGCAGTCTTACTTCATCTCGGGAGTTTCCTTTAAATAAATACCTGCATGTTGTTTAGGTTGTTGTTACTGTGTTCTCATTTAGTCTTCTATTAAATTCTTCATTTTTATATTTGTTGCCATTATATGGGTGGAGTAATGATTTTCAATTTTCTTAAGTTTATTTGCATTATTAATCTATTATTATAGCTCTTGTTGGCTTATTCTTCGAGTTGAAGTCTCCTTTTGGCTGTTTATTCTTGCAACCAATGGTTGATTGACTATTTCTAAAGATCAGTGATTAGTTTCACCTTTTTGGGACAGGATAGAATTGGAGAGTTAACGTCAGTACTTGAAAGCCGCACCGATAATGGTAATCATGTTGTTGAAAGTCCAGGTTCAGGAAATTTGAGAAGTCACGTTCAAAATGAATTCATGGTACCATTTACATGTGATCTTCTTGCATGGGATGTCTTCATATTTTTGGGTTTATCATAGTAGATGGTCTTTCCTCACTAATTACAATTTGAATTTATATTTCAGTTTCAGCATAACTTTCCCCAGCAAAATCTTATCGGGAATGATCAAAATCCTCAGTCAATGAGCAATATGGCAGGATATATGCACCCAGCTCTCAATGGTGATGTAAACTGGGGATTCAAAAGGGTCAACTATCAGGAGATTTCCAAAGCAGATAGGTTGGTATTGTTTAACCACTTCACACAATGTGAATATACCTTATCTATCATTAGTTGGGAACAATGTGTCGCATGGCTTCTTGAGCTACAATTATGCTATTTGCAAACACACATGGCCCTCTCATGGTGTGGTAAATTCCTTGCCCCGTTTGAAAAAAAATGAAAAAATGTTCAAGAAATTTCTGCTGGTGGTTTAACCTAATATGATGGGAAATATTCGCTTCTACTCTTATACTAACAATTTATCACATCTTCACTTTCAACTCTCAAACTCATTCACACACAAAAGGTTAGAGTAACCAACTTTACCATTCAATCTCATATGAATGTCCCACATTGACTGCAGATATGGCTAAATAAGAGCTTATAAAGGCTAAAATAATCTTCACCTTATGAACTAGCTTTTGAGGTGGAGATATGCTTGAAGCCCAAGTTTAAAATGGTATCAAACAAAATTGTTAAAATTGTGCGTTAACTTAAAAAATCTGAGTTTGCAATCTCAAAAAGCAGAAATGAGTTGGATGGACAGGAAAATCTTTTTTGGCCAGACTCGAACGAACTCAGTTGAAATCACAAGTCTACCACTGAGTTTATGAGTCTACAATGCCTCCCAAGTTTTGTTGAACGACAGCGTTTGAACCCTCTTGTTAGGATTACCCTTTTCGCATGCAGATCGAAACTCCCTCGTGTCCAACCCACAGATTGAACTGTGAGCAGAACCTTGAGCAGCAGCGCCAGCAACGTTCAGAATCTCCATGCATCAACTGGTTGTGTAAACACAGAGCTTATGAACAGAACCTCCATTGTCTCCCTAACGTTCAACTCTCCATCTGAAATGGACAAACAGATTGCATCCCCTTCAGCACCGACTACAGTGTGCAAACTGCGAGCAGCAGCGCCAGCAACCAACTGTGAGCAGAACCTCCAAGCTTCCACTAGTAAGAACGACAACAGAGCTTCCTGCAGCAACAAATTTTTGTAAACAAAAACAATCACGTTTGACCTCCAAACTATGGCAAATTTGTACAAATATAGTCTTGTGAACAGACCTCCTTATCTTTACTTAAGATTTGGTCCTATTTGTGTGTTTTAACTTTGTTATTATGTCTTGCTTCGTTATTTTGATTTTTTAAATATTTTTTTGCAGGAGTTTAACTTGTAAATTATAAGTTTATGAGTCAAGTTTATAGACACTCCACAAGTTTACTTAAACTCTTGAGTTTAACAACCTTGGTATCAAAGTCTATTGTAGATTTGATTTTGTGCCACCCTTGACTAAAAAAAAATTAGCCCCACAAATTTTTCTAATGCAATTAACTTGGCTCCATGGATTTTCCTATGCAACTTACTTGGTCCCGCGACTTTCCTAGTGCTACACTGCTACCTACCTAATCTCGTTGTTTATCCAATGTTATATTAAAAAAAAATAGTCTTACAATTTCTGTGCTCTAAATGTCCAATCTTAAACATGAGGGAATGTGTTGAAGTCTCTCATCGACTATAGATATAGTTAAATAAGAATTTATAAATGTTAAAGCAATTTTCACCTCACGAGCTATCTTTTGGGGTTGAGTTAGGCTTACAACTCAAATTCAACAACTATTTATAGAAATTACATGGTTTATGTTTGAATCTTGACCATACATGTATGATCCAATGGTTTGGATTTGTTCTTATTCTCACAATAAGTACTCCTCTCACTTGATATGCTCCTCATAGATATCTATAAGAATTTCTAAAATGTTCATTAAAAATGTAAATGTATCCATAAGGAAGGCATATTTTGCTTGGATGCATCTAATTATCCATGAAACAATTTGTGCAGGGTGGTATCTTCTTTCCCACATGGCTCAATTGATAAAATTGGAGTGCAGGACAAAACCAGAGAAAGAAATAATGGCAACTTGTATCAAACTCCACCTGAGCAAGATGAGACTGCTTCCTCTGTTTCTGAAGGTAATCAATGTTTTCTACTGTAATAGATTAGAAAGCATATCCTTTTGTATTGACGTTAAATTTTTTCTAGATGGCCCTGGAATTGAGAATTTTCAAGTTTGTGGTGATTGTGTTCCTGGAGAAAAGCTTCTTGGATGTGGATATCCAGTACGTGGAACTTCTCTTTGTATGTTTCAGGTGAATATGCTTCCCATTAATATTTAACTTAGCATATCATCGGTAATTTTGCCACCTCTTTTATTACTGATATCACAATAACTCTTGGCTTTGCATCAGTGGGTTCGGCATCTTGAGGATGGCACTAGGCAGTACATTGAAGGTGGATTGGAATTGTACTTCTGATTTCTTTTTTCTTTGTAATCTTATGCTTGTTTGCTGACTGGAGGGGTCTGATGAAAGTTCAACATAATATTTACTTTTCTTGGTTCAGGAGCCACAAATCCAGAGTATGTTGTTACAGCTGATGATGTTGATAAATTGATAGCAGTAGAGTGTATTCCAATGGATGATAAAGGCCGTCAGGTTTGGAATAAATTAATTATAAATGCACATTTTATCATATATGTGTACATTATTTGATGTATTTACAGTTTTACACCGTATGGCCATATATATGAATGCTATACTTTACTAATGTTGGGCCATGGGGATAATTTGGTCAATTCATAACACTTTGTAAATAGTTGTGCATGTTTATCCTTAAAAGTTTGTCTGATGCAATTAATGTTACTGCTTTACAAAATCTTTGTTGCTTTCTAACAGCATATTTGATGCCATAAAATAAAATCTCAGTATTATGAAGACAATTCAAATACAATGCAGGTTTTAGAAATTTCTGCAAATGTCAATGACCTGAATTGAATAAGAAAATAAAAGGAGTAAAATGAAATTTTTCTGAAGGTCTAAATTGTTTACTTTTACAGAGGGGACCTTGACTTCTTCCTTCCTTGCCTTTAGCATAAATCTACTAGTCTACTCTTGAAATTTAATTATTTATCATTCAAGTTTCTATATATTTGAACTCACTCGCATTCTTACAGAACTATATATTATAGAAAATGACAGATATATCTCTTGTTCATAGGAATATTATTCCTGAATTTTCATCAAATTTGTTCTTTGTCAGGGAGAACTGGTGAGGCTTTTTGCTAATGATCAGAACAAAATAAAATGTGGTAAGTTTATTTGCTGCCTAATCTGGAAAACTCAAGTCTGATTGGACACTTTAATCGTATAATTTTATGGTGGAAATTAACTTATTGTGCCCAAAAAATGTGTTGAAAAAATAAAATATACAAAATAGTTCACTCAGGTATACGGTTTTTGCTTACAACTAAAACTGTTAATATGCACTTTATGTAATAATTTTTCTCTTTCTAATATATGTGAAAACTTAAATAAAAGAGACTTGTGCACACTGTAGGCAGGGCATGGTTTAATCTGGGGCGTTGACTATTTTCAACATATACAAAATAAATGGTCTTCTTCTGAAAAATTGATAGTATATGTTGGAAGACCTAACCTTTAGTGTGTTCAGTTTCCTTTTCTTTGTTAGTTTTTTACAGAAAAACAAAGCTATATAAAAGTAGGAATTGAAATTTTGATGGTGGAGAGACGTTATTAACATTATTCAAGAGCACAAAAACCCAAGAAGAATCGGAACATAAAATTGAATACAACAAATTAACTCAATCAGTGTGGATGCCTGCAAGAGTAACCCTATAAATTGCATAGGCCCAACATCTATAAAAGTCAAATGCAAAACTTTGCTAGAAAACAGAGATAAAAACTATTCTTTAAAATTTTAAAATTTTCCTTTTTCTTCTTGAATTAATGCAACCAAGCGATTGTAAATATCTGTAGACAAAGAAAGACTTACACTAGGCAATTAATTTTTGTGAATTTTACTAACCAGTATATATTTCTGATTGATGAAATTATTTTTTCTGTTTATGATATCTGACTACTATTTTGTGTGTGTGTGTGTGTGTGTGGGATGTATTTAATGAGAAAACATTAAAAGTTGATTATAACCGCATGACTTTTTATGTTTTAATTTGATTGTTCATGGTAAGATCTAATTATCAGAATTCGTTCCCCTTACTGCCACATAAAAACAGCGCTCTCATTTGATAATGCTATCTGCCGTATTTATATGGAGATTTTTTTACTTACTGTGCCTTCTGGTGGCTCATGGGCCATGAGCCAGCCACCATCAACCATTAATGAATTTGGTTTATGTTCACGTATGTCTGATAGAATATTTGTCCATTATATTATTTTAGTATTTCTAATCATGGTCTTCTGTTGGGCTGACTTTGTAGACTCAGAAATGCAACATGAGATTGACACAAATCTGTCTAAAGGAGAAGCAATGTTCAGTGTTCTACTTCTGGTAGGTCTGGTTTTATTTGGAAAATCCTTTTATCATCAGATCTTATCCACCATATTTATGCATAATCTATCTGGTCATGATGTACATCAACAAAAAGAGTTATTGGACCAATAAAATATATCTCATGAACCTGCTGAAGTTATTTGTGACACAATGCAAAATCTTACATATTGAATTGATAGACTATTACTTGCAAAATCTTAATTGTACACTTAGCACAAAGAAAAATTCCCTTGAAATTTAGCTGAAACTATAATTTTAATGAGGTCTTAGAATTAATATGCGAATAGTTGCTTTAGTTTTTTATGACAATCATCCAATTGGAAAACTATAATTTCTTGTTAAATAAAAGACATAAATAACTATTCATTAGGGTGGAGATGCTGGTAGCAGGACTATATGATGTTAAAACAACTAACACTTCTCGTGGTAACTATTCCTTTTGAGACAAATACCACTAGTGATAACTTAGATCTCTTTTCTGTTACAACTTTTATGTTTGATTTAATGAGATTGCTTTTGTTTGAGTTTTGTGATGTGAATCTATATTTTTAGTGTTTATGTTTGATTTATTTCTTATAAAAAGTCACTTAAAATAACACAGATCAGTTAATATTTTAATCAGTTTTCACCTTCTTAACCTAGAATGCTTTAATGTCAAATGATGTTTTGAACAATATGACTGCAACCATCTTATTAATTCAGTATTTTGAGCCAATAAAATTGTTGCTATGGACCATGTTAGAGATTACAAATTATTTTTAGTCCTTATTTTCAATTTAATGACTTAAATTGTTTGATTTTTCTATAATTCAGATTACATAGCATTTCACTTTTAAATTCTTTTGTATTTTGTTAAAAAAGAAAAATAAAAATTCATTGAGAAAGAAGAGATACAAAGTTGGGAGGTTAAGATATCCTACCTGAAAGCTATTAAAAGAAAATCACCAAGAGGCAGCTAAACAAAACTTGTGAATAATAGTGCACAGTAGTAGCCCAATCTCGTTGTGAATCAGGAACAGCAAATGCCTTGAAAAATTCATGACCTGACCACAAAATAGAAGCCAAAGCTCTTATTATTTCCTACTGCCACAACATTTGCAAAGAAATTGAAAAACCTTGAAAACTCAAGCAGTCCTCTCCAACCAAGACTAGATGCACCACAGAATAGTGAATAAAACAGAGTTTCAAAGTTTAATTTGAATATAACATCAATTAAAAAAGTTGTACACTGTCATCCGATGATGTTTTGCCATATTATTTAATAAGTTTGACATCTCATGTTTATTAATCTATTAAAACTTCTTTTATACCAATAGTGTGTTTAAATTAAATTGTTAGCAAAATTTTAACCTCTTTCTCTTTGTTAAGATGAGAGAAAACAAGAAGGCATGAGAGGAATTTTATGTATTTCAACTATACCTCAGGATATATATTTATATTAATAATGGTAATAGTAATTATAGTTACAAAATTAAAGACAAATATACAGTCACCTAGTTACTATAATTACATCAATACTATTTTCCTAAATAATATATTTATACATATATTTAACATTCCCTCTCGAGCTGGAGCATATAAATTATATGCATCGAACTTATCACGTATGTACTTAATCCGAGAACCCCTTAAAGACTTTGTGAATACATCTGTAAGTTGATCATTTGAATTGACAAAATTTGTAGTAATAACTTTGGATAAGATCTTTTCACGAAGGAAGTGACAATTAATCTCAATCTGGGTCAACAAGAGGCTTTCCCTAACTTGGTTGAAGTTTAGAATTAGGATCCATAGGATTATCCACAGGTTTGGCCTCCTCAAACCTGTTTCTTCTAATATATCCAATACATATTTCTTTTGGAAAATTACAATACAATGCTTGGATTGTGCTACCTCTATTCCAAAAATATCGAAGTTTTCTAAGGTCTTTGGTTTAAAAATGATGATATAAGTGGTTTATCAATTGTGTAATGCTATGATGGTCAAGCCAATGATAACAATATCGTCCATATACACAACCAAGTAAATGCATTTTGTGGCTGAATGGTGATAAAAGATTGAGTGATTAACTTCGCTTTAAGGCGATCCACTTGACCATTAGGAGCCACTTTGACAATGTATATCCACCTGCAACCAATAACAAATTTACCTAAAGGAAGAGGAACGAGGTGCCAAGTTCTACTACTGTGAAGTGCACACATTTCGTCAAGCATTGCTTGACAATAAGCGGGATGTGAGAGAGCTTCTGCTGTATTCTTAGGAATAAAAACAGAAGACAAAGAAGATACATATATTGGGAAGAAGATAGACGATGATATGATAAAGCAGCATAATGAGAAGAGGGGTTATGAGTGGAATGTATACTTTTTTGAAGTGCAATAGAGAGATTAACGTTAGGTAAGAGGGCCGAAGGAGCACATGTGTTGGAGCTGGCAGAGGGTCACATGGTATGTCAACAGTAGGCAAAGGAGGAGTTGGTGGCCAACAATGGTACACCTGTAATGAATGTAGAGGAGGGTCATCTAAAGGAGGTATGACCTCTGGTGGGTGAAAAACAACCAGAACTGGTGGTGAAGGTATGATAGATTCTAGTCCTGACTCAAACATTGCAGAAGAACTAAAAAAGGGAATAGACTCGAAAAAAGTAACATCAGCAGGTACAAAATAACATTTAAGAGTTGGAGAGTGTTAAGATGTCCCACATTGGTTAGGAATAGAGGCAGAATACTTCTTATAAGGATTAGGGTAGTCCTCCTCCTATGAGCTAGCTTTTGGGAGTTAAGTCCAAGTTTCTTAACATGTTATCAGAGCCTATTCAATTTAAAAGTTAGGCTGCCCACAGATGTCCAGTCATGTTGCGTCTATCTATGCAGATATCCAGTTCTACAAGTTTCACACACCAGATATCCAGTCCTGGGCGTGAGGCGGGTGTGTTAAAATGTCCCACATTGGTTAGGAATAGGAATAGAGTCAGAATACTTCTTATAAGAGTTAGGGCAGTCATCTCTTCCTATGAGCTAGCTTTTGAGAGTGAGTTAGGCTCAAGTTTCTTAACAGAGAGTAACACTTATAATCCTTTTGAGAACGACTATAACCAAGAAAAAATATTAGTGGGCATGAGGAGAGAGTTTGTCATTACTTGGACAAAGCATATGGACCCAAACACACGGGGAGGTATAGGATGCAAAGGCTATTTAGAAAACAAGATAGAGTGTGGTACTTAGTTATGGAGAACAAAAGAAGGCAACCAATTGATAAGGTAACAAGCTATCAAGACGGCATCTCTCCAAAAATGAAGTGGGACAACTATGTAAGAGTAGAGTGTGATTAGTTTCAACAAGGTGTTTGTTTTTTCTTTCAACCTTATTTTGTTGAGGAGTATGAGCACAAGAAGTTTGATGAAGTATGTCATTAGATGCTATGAAATTTTGAAAAAATGTGACAAGTACTCCTTAGTCCTTAGCATTATTACGACGCAAAGTGTGAATTGGAAGACCAAATTAAACTTTAGTTTCATTAAAAAAAAAAAACTTTAAAAAATAGAAAATAATTTAGAACGATCTTTCATTAAAAATAATCATGTGCAACGAGAATAATCATCAATAAAAGTAACAAAATATCTAAAAGTTAAAGTAGAAATAGTATGATTAGGACCCCAAACATTAGAATGAACCAAACTAAAAGGAGATGTGGCTTGCTTATTTTCACGGCTCAGAGAGGAACTACGGACTTGTTTTTCTATTTGACACAACTCACAAGAAAGTGTAGATAATTGAGAGAGACTTGGCACCAGTAATTGTAGTTTTTAAAGACTCGGATGTCCCAACCTAGCATGCAAAAGAAGAGGGGAATCCACTGCCGAACCAGCATGTGTGAGGGGTTGCAGTTGATAAAGTCCATGTGACTCACAGGTGGTGCCAATCATCTGCCCCGTTGTCTAGTTCTAGAGAAAAACAAAATCTTTAATAAAAAAGACAACACAATTAAGTGTACGAGTGAGTTGACTTACAGATAAAAAATTAAAAAGAGACTCAGGAACATATAAGACAATGTCGATAGATAATGATGAAAGAAGAGAGACAATGCCAACTCCCTAAGATTGTGTTTGAGACTCATTGGCCATAGTAACAGATGGTAAGTATCCAGATATAGAGAGAGAGGAAAAGAGGGATTTGTTACCAGTAATATGATCAATGGCACCTTAATCAAGCACCCATGGATCAAGAGATGGGGATGAAAAATACCAACAAAAGAATTACCCATGTACATAATAGAAGCATTGGAATCAAAGGCCTAGCGATCCTTATACTAACAAAGGAAATTGGAAGAGTGCTGGTGGGATATTAGGAGTGGAAGTAGACTCGGTAGAAGCAAGATTCAAAGGAAAACCCTAAGCCCTCATACTAACTAAGGAAATTGTTGAAGAGTGCAGGTTCGAGAGGAGCAGGAATCGCCATGGGTTAGCCTAGAAGAGAGAAAAACACAATCAAACAGTGGTAAAACAAGGTAAACAGCAACGAAGGTGGTGAGAAGCCGATCAAAAAAGCACGCCGAAAAGTTGCCAGCGGTGTGAACAGTGCTGCCAGAAAGTTGCTGGCTAATGAACAGTGGCAGCCAGAAAAGTATCCTGTAAGTGAACAGTACAGTTGGAAAAGTTGCCGGCAAGTGAACAGTGCGGCCAGGAAAAAAAAAACAGAAACTAGAGAGACACACGGTTTCTAAAATAATTACACCTGTGAGCAGTGGGCCCATAGGAAAAGAACGAATTAGGATTTCTAAAACAAGGCATGAGAAAAATCCGTGTGTTTCAACTACATCACAGAATATATATTTATATTAATAATGGTAATAGTAATCATAGCTACAAAATTAAAGACAAATATATGATTACTTAATTACTATAATTATATGGATACTGTTTCTCTAAATAACATATTTACATATATTTAACACTCTTCACTTTTCTAATTCTAATTCAGTTCAATATCATTTCTAAAGTATACAGAATATGTTGAGTTCATACCTCTTTATATGCATTCTCACATTTTCCTACTTTCTGACAACAGATGGAGTCTTCCGAAAATTGGGAACAAGCAACTCTTTTCTTAAGACGATCAGGGTATCAAATTAAGATTAATGGTACTGAAGCTGCAGTAGTTGCTGAAAAATTCTCAAAGGACTTATCGGTATGTTATTCAAACTTCTGGTGATCTGGATCAATTGCCAATTATAGGAAACTTGATCAAATCATGCAAAAGTTTATTATGCAAAAAATGTGATTGGAATACCTAGAGTGGAAACCACTCTGCCTAACTCTGTAACTCTTCTCCTTTAGCTCAATAAGAATGTTGTCTTCACTTCTAAGTACTCAAGCTCTAGACCATGAAGTGATATTGTGGCAAGTAACAAGTTCACATGTTCAGATCCCTATGAAAAGACTTGATCCGTTCCCCTTTAGAGACCATGTGACTCATCTGATTCCAATCATTTACCCTGAACTCCAATCCTGCAAGAAAACAGAATCCTTAGTAAAGGTAACAATGAGACCAAGTGAGACAACTAATGGAAAACAAATTAAAAGGAGATCTAAGAACATAAAGGACATTGTCAACAAAAAAAGAAGAGAAAGGACAAAAAATACCATTGTCTTTAGATTGTGTTTGAGAACCATTAGCCATAATGACTAAAGGTAATATCCAGAAGTAGAAAGGATAGAGGAAAGGGATTGATTAATTAATAGTTATACAATCAGTGACTCCCAAATCAAGTATCCAGAGACCAAGAGAAGAGGAGTGAGAGATGCTAACAAAGGAATTATCAGTGCGTGCAACAAAAACAATGAAAAAGTTTGCCTTTCCTCATACCACCTCAAAAAATTATTATAGCTGGGGCCTGGGAGGTAGTGCCTGTGGAGAAGGTGTTGGCAAGAGAATATCAGAGGAAGCCTGCAAAGTATATTGAACAACGTGAGTAGTGTAAGGAGAGTGTCCATGTAGAACACAGCACATATCAATGGTGTGTCCAAGCTTATGACAGTGATCATATTTAAGGTGAAATTTCTTAAATTTACAGATCCAAGCATGGATATCCTCTTGAGAGAGTAAGGCTGATAAATCTCAGTGTGTGTTTTAGAAGAGTAGACCAAGTACTATCCATGGAGGAAACTATGGTGGAACCCAAAATCCTATCACAAATGTGAGAATACTGTTAGCTCTCAGAAGTAAAATCAAGAAAAAGGCTGAAGAATATTGTCAATTTTTATTGATCTCTTTAGAAAGAATCAGGACTACAAGAACCCCCGGAGCTGTCAGCTCCTGTACAGAGAATAATTCCCCCTAACAGTATTTTCAGAAAAACCAAAAGCCCCTTTAATCCAGAATCTAACTCTATTTATAGGATCTATTAACCATATTAACAACTAACTAGCAGTTGACTCTTTCCTTCCCTTCCTCCTAACATAAACCTTCCACACTTTAGGTCTCTTATTAGTATCAATCATATGTTATTCTTCCATGGTCCTAACAAATATTCCTTAGGAAAACCATATGAGGCAAGTATCCACAAAAACTGCTGACACTGCTCAAGTTCTAAAGCCAATGTAAATGCTGGAGGGAGTAGCTCATTAAAGTCACATAGGAGACAAGACACCTTAACTAAATAATTAGCCATAGAACATTAATATGATGAGTACCAATAATAATCATGAGGTCATAGCAAACTCCATAAAGATGATAAGTAATATTGGTGTACAAGACTCTACTTGTGTCCAATAGCTTCACAAACAAGTTTCATGAGCATGAAAAACAGGACACAATGATGGATGAAGAGTGAAGTATCAATCTTCTTCCATTGAAGATGGTTTACCTCTAATGTATCTACTTTTTCAGTGAGGTGTTCTCACAATCTTGTCCTACAAGCCAAAAACAAATGTTAGAAATCCAAGAGATATAATTCATACTCTCCAACATCTCTGCAGAAAGTAGAGCAGTGACGTGATTAGTGAAAATATTGGACTCAGCCTTCAAAGGATCAGAAGACACCATGGGCGACAAAGAAGTGAGCGAAAAAATGTGTAGCAACAGTGCCAAACAATGGCAAACACTCCAAACTGGGAGGCTGGGAGGGATGAAGCACTAGAATGAAGAAAGGAGGACAAATCCAAAAGGAGGAGGGGAGAGACAAGTATGACGAACCAAATGCTGGTGCAAACAGTCATCAAACATGCCACCACGCTGCCAAAAGCATCAGCACATGAGAGAAGTGTGTCTAAGGGAAGTGGCACGTGAGTGTACATGGTGGCTCTGATGACAACGGGGATTGACCAATTGAAGTGAGATGAAGCCAATGATATGGTCACTGGTAATGACGGAGGCCCGATGATGAAGGCAAATCTGGAACAGTAGCTGTACTGACCATAGAAAAAAAGGGGGGGGGGTGAAGAAAAGAGAGGAGGAAACTTCAAAAACCAAGGATGAGACATGGTTTCAGAAAAAAAAATTCACCAGTATGCATTAGGTCCATCAAGTAAAACACAGATTGAGGTTTGTCTCTCGCCAGGCTATGGATACTGTGTTCAAGGAGAAGAAATTGAGAGACATTGGATGAAATCTGTGTCTATGATACACAGCAAAGAATTTTATTTATGTTGACTAAGTAATAATTACAAAATATTGTCATATATTGATCACAAATAACATTAAATTAAATAGTAATAAATAGATATTCTCTATTTATTTACAATTATTCTCAACAGTTCTTATTAATTGGTATCAAAACCTTTAACCATGTCTCTCGATTGCAAACAAGCAGCATGGTGGTGTCTCTGACATTGTAGTGTTGGCCTTGATTGGAACTAGCCAAAGGGCTAATGCATAGCTAACCTACATGGTTGTGGCTACAAAGTATGGTGGAATATTAGGACCCAATTGCAAAGTATGGGATTTAGTGTTTTCATGATTTGGCTCATCTAAAATTGGAAGTGTAGAAGATAAAGTGTGAAACCATTGATTGAAAAGTCAATGGAGTAGATTTTAAGATTTTTTTATCTACATGTGCATATTTATAATCTTACCCATTGAAGGATTCTCTCTCTTGAACCATTTCCTTCCCCTCAAACTCTTCATTATGTAGAGGTGCACAATTGAACACTAACCTCCTCACCTTTGCTTAGGGACTAGAAGTTATCGTTCTCTGTTGTAATTGGACAGAAGGATTCTTTTTATTTCTGTAAAACAAAAGCTTTCTGGTCATAAGGTTATTGGATGGATCAAAGTAGCTTGAGTGTAAAACACTCGCAAAAATATTTGCATAAATATGTCATTAAATCTGTTTGTGAATTGACATGTAATAACATTCAGCAAGTTGTTTTTCTTGTTTAAAAAGTTTCCTTTTATGTATTTTTGACAGATTAAGATTAAGGTTCCATGTGGTCTCTCAACACAATTTGTGTTAACATGCTCGAATGGATCTTCTCATCCTCTAAGCACATACAGTGTCAGGTAATAACATTGGCTGTGTTTCACTTTCATGTTGAATGCATCCTAATTATTGTATACTTTTTACTGAGTACCAAACAAAGATTTTTATTGTGAGCATATGATATTCGGAAAATATCCATTGCACCAAAAATGCCTTTTTTGATGCCTCAATTGCATTTAGCACCAAGTGGACCAAGTCATTAGCTAAACCGTTAGTTATTACTATTGAAATGTTGTTTAAAAATTACGGTTATTTTGTAGTGCAAATAAACTCATGGTTCTCTTTCCTTCTTTCTTGCTTCTCATTTAAGTTGATAGTTCCTTTACATTGAATATCATTTGTTCCAAATTTAATTTACTTTCATCCTTCAATGATTGCAACATTGAATTTCTTGCTCATACAATTTGATTTCAATTTTAGACAACAATTATAAATCTGAATTTCACTCTATTTTACAATGATTAACTATGTTCATTACCCTTTCTGTAGAATGCGAGACACACTTGTATTAACTATGCGAATCTTCCAGAGCAAGGTATTTATAGAATCTTATACTTGAATGTGTTTTTATTTTCTTTGTATTGCATTTGACCCAAGGGTCTGAATTTATACATGTACAAGGGAATATACATTAATTATAGATTATTAGCTTAATAAAGGTAATCCTGATATCATGCTATAATTACGCTATTTTACTGGCCTAATTACTAGATTTACATATCAACACTCCTCCTCAAATTGGGGCATACAAATCATATGCACAAAACTTGTTACAAATATATTCCACTCGAGGCCCCTTTAAGGATTTTGTAAACAAATCTGTCAGCTAATCATTGGACCAAACAAAGCTTGTCTCGATTTCCCCTATGAGAATCTTTTCTTTAATAAAATGGCAATCAATTTCTATGTGCTTGATTCGTTCATGAAAAACCAGATTAGAGGCTATGTGTAGTGTAGCCTGATTGTCACAAATTAACTTCATTTTATCGACCTCTCCTACTTTAAGTTGTAGGAGGATTGTTTTAGCCAAGTAAGTTCAAATGTGGTCACAGCCATAGCACTGGATCTAGCAACAATGTGTTGCTTCTTGCTTTTCCATGAGATTAAGTTCCCCCCCCCCCAGTAAAGATACAGTATCTCGAAGTAGACCATCTATCTGATAGTGATCCAGCCCAATCCGCATCAAAGTAGCCAACAATAGTAGAGTTTCCCTTATTCTGATAAAGTAGCCCTTTGCCTAGTGCAAGTTTGATGTATCTGAGAATGCGAACAACAGCATCCCAATGGTTGGTACAGGGAGCATTTAAGAACTGGCTGACTACACTTACGGCAAAAGTGATGTCTGGTCTAGTGATGGTGAGATAGTTGAGTTTACCAACCAAGCATCGATACCTTTCTGGGTCTTTCAAAGGCTCCCCCTGACCTGGAAGGAGCTTGATATTGGGCTCCATAGGGGAATCAGTCAGACGACAGTCAAGCATGCCAATTTCAATAAAAATATCAAGGGCGTATTTGCGCTGATTAAGAGAAATCTCATGGCTGGATTGGGCAACTTCAATGCCAAGGAAATATTTGAGAGGACCGAGATCCTTGGTCTGAAAATGTAGGGACAAGTGCTATTTGAGGCGCTGGATGATCAATTGGCAGATTTGTTTACAAAATCCTTAAGGGGGTCCTGAGTAGAATATATTTGTAACAAGCTTGATGCATATGACTTGTATGCCCTAGCTTGGTGCATATAGAATCTAATACTTGAATGTGTTTTTATTTTCTGTGTATTGCATATGACCCAAGGGTCTGAATTTATATGTGTACAAGGAAATCTACATTAATTACAGATTATTACCTTAATAAAAGTAATCATGATATCATGCTGTAATTATTCTATTTTACTGGTCTAATTATTATATTTACATATCAACAGTATTCTTTCTATTTCTAGCAATTTCTTAGGCATCGGTGACAATGACAAGTAATTGTAATCCTAGAATCGTAGATTGTAGTTGTAAAGATTTAACAAAATTGACATCCAAAATGTGAATCCAAATTTCGGTCAATTGCAGAAACTAGTCATTCCATATATAAATATTTTACCCAAAATATTGGCACTACAAGAAACTTTGAATTTCAATAAATACAACAACCAAGCCTTCTATTATTCAATTGACTAATTCTCAAAAATCATATTTGAGTTGAATAATTTAGAGCATGGTCTTTTCTAATGTTTTCCCCAAGTGTTTTCTTTCATCTTCCTCTACATCTCTTAGTCAGGTTACTTCTTAATATACTTTTCTCATCGTAGCTTTCTGGAACCTGTGTTGGTGTCGTTGTCCCTTCAATGGGGTCAACCAATCCATTTAGCTAATTCCACTTAATGAGATAAGGCTTGGTTGTTTTTTTAGTATTATTATATTCTTCAGAGTTGGAGATAGGGTAAGATGCTATAAGATCATGCAAAAAAATAGTAATATTTGGTGCTCATGATAGGAGCAAAAATAACTTCCTGTGCTATTTCATGTATAACTGCGCAACCTTTATCTAATCATTTAAATATCAATTTTATGACTGGATTGAAGCATTCTCTCTGCCTGCCTTTATCAATTTTCTGTAATGGAAGTATTCTTATACTACTTTTTAAGCAACAATAATGAGTTACAAGTCCAGTTGTCTTCTTTTTTTTCCCTTTGTTTTTGTTTCCCTTTTCATTTGTCATATGAAAGCATTTTAAATAAATTCTGTAAAATGGTTTGATATCAGTTTCTCTCTGTTTTTTCTTTTTTTTCTTTTTGTGGTCCATACTATCAGTTTATCTACCTAAACATTTTGGACATTGTTTTTGGGGACACAGGCATTGGATGACAAAAGGAAAGGGAGAGCTTGACCTCAGACTACCATGTCCAAGCTTCAGCTTTTGTATGGAAGAAAATAAAATACAAAATCAGTTGAAGAAAAAAGTTATGGTCTCATTTGATTATTGGTTTGTTCCACTTGTCTAGCGACCTGCTGTAAAAACAACAGTAGTATATAGAAGCTAAGAAAGTGTAAAATGAGAAGAAAGCAAAAACAGTGCGTAACATTTTTTTTCCACTGAAATTACAATGTAATATTGTATGCCTGTGAATGTGGGGGAAAGCTGCATGAGTTAAAAGCTCTACACTCAGCTAAGCTTAACTCCTCTGTTTGTCATTTGATTTATCTGTAAGTATAGAAATAAAGATTTGTACTTTTAATGAATTTCTTAAATTATTAAGTCGCGTTTTGGTATTTACACCACGACTGTGTAACTTGTGATTAGTCATTGGTACCATGTTATTAGTGTTACTTCAACATTTCTCATTTTCGTGATTGTACTGTTCTCTGCGCATCATTTTCAGTGAAAGGACACAGACTAGGATCACCTGGAATTGCATCCAACTAATGCATATGAGGTTAAACATACTTTTTATCTTATTAAGATTATACACTAATCTCTTCATTAGCGTTTGCCAATCATGAAAACAACATTAATTCAAAGTGATTTTGGTTCTTACCATCTCTCTTTTAATGACGATACATTATTTTGAATTTTTTGTAAATTTTAGTAATCTCAAAAGCAACATAGTTGTTTTATCTGCAATAAAACAAACGGATAGAATTGAATTTTAAATATAAAAATGGAAACAAATTGAATAATTCCACTTTAATTTATGGGAATTTTAAGCCATATCAAAACAAAGTAAAAGAAAAATCTATTTATACTATTATTATGATATTACGTATTCCAATTTGATTTAATAGGTTAAAAGAATCAATTAAATCATGTTCGCTGAGATAAAGACTTAATATAATATAAAATTGACTCACAACAAACATGATTTTAAAAATCTATTAAGGTAAAACTACTTTATTATGACAAAGAATAACATAGTTCAATTTAAATAAGAAAAAATGTTATAACAAAAAAATTTAATAACAATAAGAAAAAAAATGCAAATTAACACCCTAAAATTTGGGTCAAGTGTAACTTAGTTCCTAAATTTTGTGTCTTTCAACCCGTCAAAATTTTAGCATGTAAGAAAATAGTCATTTTGCTATTATTTGTTGTTAAAATACGATAGATTTAGTTTTAATTAAAAATATAAAATGTCAAACTTTGAAAATTAAAAGACAATCCCAGATGGCAAAAATACATGTGTGAATTCAAAATTATCATCTCATAAAGTGAAGAAAAGAACAAATGCATGCAAGCACATATCAGTAAGTGCTACAACAAGAACAGACTCACTAATCTACTTATAATAATTCCTTACTATCTTTTAAAGAAATAAATAACTAAACTAAGGAGTAAAAAATGATCGAATTCACATATTCCTCCGACCAAAAATAAACATTAGTCACCAGCATTTAGTCTTCATCATCAGAGTTGTCAAATGTAATTTTTTGAGACTTCGGAGCATCAACAGGAATTTCCTTGAAATGAGCCCCATAAAGCTTGGACTCCTTTTTCTTTACATGCGTGCCAAACTTCAAGAGGGCATCTGGCACAATTTGCCCTGCTTCTCTTAAAACATTCACCAGCTCCCCAGCAAGCCCCTTATTCTGCTGCGTGAAGAATGTATGGGCAACACCTTTCTTACCAGCTCGTCCAGCGCGCCCAATTCTATGAACATAATCTTCTGTAGTCAGAGGAAAACTGTAGTTGATCACTACTTCAACACCTGGAATGTCCAATCCCCGGGCAGCAACATAAGTAGCAATCATCAAAGGACAGCTCCCCTTTTTGAATAATGACAGTGCTTTTGTTCGATCATGCTGGGCTTTGGCCCCATGTATTGACACAACATTCCAACCCCCTTCTTGAAGCATATTTTCAACTCGTGTGGTTTCCCATTTGTATAAAACAAAAACCAATACTCGATTCCTTTGAGATTTGTGGTACTTTTCCAGTAAAGCAACCAGGCGTTTATCACGTGAACGGTCATCCAAGACCTCAACTATCTGCATGACATCAAATCTTCTGAACCCAGAACAACTTTTACAGAATTAGGGTCCATAAACTCCTGTGCCAAGTGATGAACTGGTAAAGGCCATGTAGCACTAAACATAACCATTTGACGTAAAGAACATGTCTGACCCAGTATAGAGCGAACTACTTGTTCAAAACCCATGTCAAGCATCCGATCTGCTTCATCAAGTACCACAAAAGATACATAATTAAGGCAGCAGACACCCATTTCAATCAGATCCTGGATACGACCAGGGGTTCCAATGACAATATCAATACCAGATTCTAGTTAGGAGATTTGTGGCCCTTTGGAGGTTCCACCATACAAACAGATCGATTCCACGCCACAAGAACTACCAGCATCACACATGACATCTGATATTTGTTGTGCAAGCTCTCTGGTGGGAGAGAACACGAGGCAAAGAGGATTCCGAGCCTTGGAACCTTTACTCTTACGCTTTCTTAGAACATGCATAATTGCCGGTATGCCGAAAGCCAACGTCTTCCCTGAACCAGTGGCTGCGATTCCAATCAAATCACGACCGTCCAACAAGAAAGGCCATGCTCGGGACTGAATCGGCGAAGGCTTCTCGAAACCCTTGCAGCACTCCAGCACGTTCTCCGTTAGGCCCGAATCCGCAAATGTTTTCACCGCCGCGTATTTCGCGTTGCCGACATTCTTACCAGTGACCACCACGGAACCATCCGTCAGCGTTCCGTCACGGCTAGTGCCGTTAGTGTTGTTTTTGCCGTTGGTTTTATCGGCGCTCTCCTTCGACTCGTGGTGCTTCTTCTTCGATTCGGTGCCGTTTTGAAGGTCGAGTTGGTCGAGCTTTCGTTTGGGGCTAGTTTCGTTTTGATGCTTGTCTTTCTTCTTCTTCTTCTCCGATTCGAGTTCGGGGCTGTTGGGGGGCTTCTTCGGCGACTGGTTCGCTGAGCAAAACGACGCCGTGTTTCCGCCCCATGTTTGGACATGGAGAGTGGTACAGTGCAAACGAAATACGACGTCGTTTATGAAATAATATTTCTTGGAAAACCAATCTGAAGGTTTCCTCGTTTAATTGCAACGTTGGTGTAATGGTAAGTATACCTGTCAACGGGCAATAAAAATGAGTATTTGAAACCAAAATATTAGGAATTGGTTGATTTAGTTTTGATTTTTAATTTTTAAAAAATAAATTTTAAAATAATTTTATAAAACTGTTTTTAAGAAAATAAAATAAAATAAATTGATAGTTTAGTTTTTAAAATTATTTTTATTTAAATTTTTGTTAATTTTAGAAAGAAAAAAATTAAAACAAAAATATTTAAATAGTATTTTTGCTTTTAAGTTTTAAAAACTGAAAATAAAAATTAATTTTTAAAAATAGTTTTTAAAAATTATATTAACAAGTAAGTTTTTCTGTTTTTTAATTTTAAAAAATATAAATAAGCTCTTATTCCAAAAAAAACTAGGATTATTGGTTTCTTGATTATTTATATAACAATTACGAGAATGATGAAATTTATAGAATACGATTGTTGAAAAAAAGAAAAAAAGAAAAGGGATATTTTGAAAAAACAAAGTTCACCAGGCTTCTTGTTAATAAATGAGACCAATGACAAATATTTGTAACATTATTTACTTCTGTTTTATATTTTAATATATAAGGCAATAAAGTTGAAAAAATGTTAAGACCTTATTTAAATTTTTAAAAAATGAAAACACGTCAAACATGATAAATTAATTTAAAATATCTAATTAAATTAAAAAAATTAATTAAATAAATAACCTGGAACCAAAAACTTAAAGAATTAAAATTGTAATTTTTCCAAATTAAATTATCAGGAAAAAAAACAAATTAATTGACTCTTAACAATTCAATGGTGTCATAAATGACAGCTTGACCATGAATCACAGAGTATTGAGTTGTAAATTTTACCATGTCAAAAATCTACTTGATGGATGAAGGTCTCTCATTCTTACAATTAGATAACAAAAAAATCTTAATTGTATTTATTCTTTTGCCTTTATATTTTGATTTATGTGTAATTTTAATCTCACTATTTTTACTTAATTATGTTTAGTCTTTTGAGTTTTTTCAATTATTCAAATTAAGTTCTTCATTTTAAAATTTTATTCAATAATTAATAAAATTATGGTAAAAGCGTAATATAGCATTGATTTGTATAAGTTAATAAATAAACATATATAAAATATTTAAATAAAATGTAATAAAAATGTTTTTTATTTTTATTTAATATATTTTTAATAGAAAATTTATATATATATATATATATATATATATACATTATATGAAATTTTAGTGAATGACTTAATTAGAATAATTAAAAATTAAGGAGACTAAATATACATAGTTAAAATTAAAATTACTAAAATTATATATAAATTAAAATATACAAACTAAAAGTGATATAGAAAAAAATAATATAGTAGCTGAAGTTTAAAAGTTTGCATAATTAGCAATTTACAAATAAATACAAAAGCAAATTCAGATTAATTTAGCAGCTAAAATAGTATATTTTTTCTTTATTTTCTTGATTTTATTTTGATTTGTTCTTCTTCTTCTTTGTTTAGTACACAAAAATAGTTCAGATAAATTACTAAAAAAAGTTTCATTCTATTAAAAAAAATTGTTCATTTTTTTTTTTAACTTAACAAAAATATAATATATTTTGACAATTATTTTTATTGTCTCTTTTGTTTTTCTCTCGTCTTACTCTCTATGTCTCCACACCCTATTTCTCTCTTCTCATATAGACTTTCTCAATTTTTTTCTTCTTCTTTTTTATTATTTTTCTTTCTCTTTTTATCTCATATCCATATTCCTCCTCTTATTTAAACCACAAAAATACTTATCACTTTTACCTTTCTCTTTTTTATTTTCCAACAAAAATCTAATGAAACATTTTTTTAGCTTAAAAGGTGTGGATGAAGTCCCTTTAGATTTATCATTTAAAAACCTTATTTAATAAATGTTAGTGCTTAGACAATGACATAGGTTTAATTTTATTAAATTTAACTATTTACCATATAATTACATGAATAAACGGTCTATTCTATTTTCCTTTTTCTATATGTATACACCTTTACATAGTAAAGCTTATAAATCAAAATAGGCATTGTTATTGAGAAAAAAAAAAAATATTTGTTGAAGTTCAAAAGGGTGGAGAATGAATTGTGAAAGTGAGACTAAGGGGTAAGAGGAAGAAAAAAAAAAGTGGAAGAGAAAAAAAGAGTCTTTTCTTAGTTTGAAGAAAGAAAGAAGCATGGATAAAGGGTAAAAACTGAAAAAAAAAAAGGGAAAAGAAATAAGAAAACTTATGAGTAAGAGGAGAAAGAGGAAGCAACCAAAAAATTTGTATTTTTGTTAAAGTTCATGAGAAGAAAGAAGATAATTAAATATTTTTGTAATAAAATTAATATTTTTATAAAAATAATTTATTTAAAATACTTTTGTAAGTTAAAACACAGAAATTAAAAAAAAAGTTAAGAAATTAATTTCTTAATTTAACATAATTTAATCGTTACATAAAATGTTACATTCTTAAGTACATATATACTCTTAAAAGAAAATATAATTTCTGCTACCTTTTTTTTAAAATTCATGTATATATATTATAATCAATTAAGATATTATTTATTTATAATTCAAAAAATTCAATTAAATTATTATTTTCTATTTGTATTAGTCTTTTTTTTCCAATATCGATAAATTATTAAATTTAATAGAAATAACAAAGACAAGGGCAAAGATTGAAAAATTACTTAATATTTTTCTTATTTCTATCCATATAATAATTACGAAATATTTTATATAGTTTTTCTTCCAAATAATATTTTTATTAATTTATTTAAATATTGTTTTTACAAAATTTATTATAATATCAAAACAACAATAAATTGTATATTTAACACATCAATGTGAGTTAGTTTTATGGCTTAAATATGCATTTAATTCACATGCTTTAACTTATGCAATTTTAGTTCTCTAGTTTTAATTATTTATATTTAATTATTTAAAATAAATATTTAATACAATAATTCATTTAATAATTAATAAAAATAGAAATAATATGTAATATATCATTTATGTATATAAAAATACAAAAAAAACTCATTTTTAATATGTTTATTTAAATATTTTATATATCTATTATTTAATAAATTATATAAATTAATAATATGTCACGTCTTTATTATACTTTTTTTAATTATTGAATGAAATTTAAGAATAAAAAAAATTAATTTAAACAATTAAAAAATAAATAAACTAAGTATAAATAATTAAAATTGTTAATATTAAAATTAAACACAAATTAAAATACAAATACAATTAAACATATTTTTTACAGAAAGAAAAAGTATTCGCACAACCATCTATTTTTATTGTCTTTTGTATACTATTATTAGTATGGGGCCCGCATTTGGTCATACTTTTACCATTATAATTATTGTTATCTAATTAAATAATTATAAAAAGGTAAAAACTAAATCCTTTTCATTGCCTTTTATAAATTATTTTATTTCTCAAAAATTTTAAAATATAAAAACATAAAATATAAAATTTCTAGAATGGTTGAAAAGTTATGTGATATTTATTTTAAAAACTTTTTGAATCTTTTTAAAATAAACCCACATTTTAAAGAACAATGCAAGCGGTTAAGTGTCTCAATCCAACTCACCAACTCATTTTCTTTTACTTTTAGCATTAATTATATTTACTTTACTTATTTAATACTGTATTTACAGAACAATGCAAAAATTACTAAGACAATATTAAAAGAGTGTATAACATTATATTTTCTCATATTCTCTCTCTCTCTCTATATATATATATATGTATATTAAAAATTATTGTTATTTTTAATTATTATGATAGAATAAAATAATTTTATTAAAATATACTTATTAAAAATGTTAAACTTGTTACAGGAAAAAGTTGATAATAACTGCTCCCAGATTAATATGAAGCTGTTATAATAGTTATTTAAAAAAGCTATTCTTAATAAATAAATGTATTATTAAAAAAATAATTAATATTTAAAATGATAAATAACTATGAAAATTTTGTGTTAAAAATTATTATATTTAATATGACTATGTAAGTTAGTACATGGATAATATAAAAAAGGAAAATGGGTAAATGTTGGGGCATCAAAAATATAAAATTTGAATAAATATATAATTTAAATTTTAAAAGAAGGGATATAAATAAACAGAGTCCAAGTCAAATACTTAAAGAGTAAGTTGTATTTATGAAAAAAAATTAAATTTGACTTATTTATTTAAACACAATAAATGTAAAGCTTATATTTAATTTGATTAAAATTTTTGTAATTTAAATTTGAGTCATTAGCTCATTTATAAGTTATTATTTTTACAAATTTTGAATAACTTTTAAATAATTTAATATTCAATGAGTATTTTTATGTTAAAAAGTGAATTAAAATATAATTTTGTTTACATAAAAATAACTAAAGGTTTTAAGAAAAGATATTTCTATAAAATAATATATTTCTTTTAAAAAGTTTATCATTATTTATTTAAAATACAACTGCTAAAAACTAAAATTAGATAAACAACACACACAACGGTAACAATAAAAAGTAAAAATTTAAGTAAATATAATAAATAACATTACAGTTATGTAAATATGCATGTATATATGAACTATTTACAAGTGGTTAGTATTAAGTTGTAAAATTTGAACTGAGTAATTAATTGTAACTTTGAATTTGAGTTTATTTGTTTAATTCAATAAATAAAATTAACTAAACATTTAATTCAAATAATTTATGAAAAACTCACCTCATTTAAATTTCCTGGGGAACTAATACACATCCTTTAACTTATTAATAATTATTACTTGAATTTTATTAAAAGTTATGTAAATATGAAAAATAAAATTACTACAATAAAAATGAAAAAAATGAGACTTATACAATATTTATAATTTTTAATAAATTTTAATTAATAGAATGTGTTAAAAATATGTTAAAAAATGTGTTGTCTTTATTTAAAAATAACACATGAAATTTTATTTTATATAATTTAATCACAAAACATGTTAAATATTTTTTAAATAAATAAAGTGAGAACAAAATATGACAAAAAATAGCATATTTAAAAACTAATTATACTCATCAACACTTTTTATGATTAATTAATTTCAAAAAATAACCAAAATGTGAATGAAGTAATAAATTTGAAAGTCAAACTTTTCAAAACAAAAAATTTAAAAATTAATGATAGACATTGTCCCTTTCAAAAATTAATTTATGTATTTATTAAAAAAAATTTATTGAAACATTTTATAATATGTATAATTTTACAACATTTAATTCATTTCAATATTTTTAATATTTTATTATTTATTAATTTTTGAAACTGTGGTAACCTTGAGGACATTGATTAGTGGTGAATTGAAAAATAATAATAAATAATAATAAAAAAAAGGCAAAACCCAGCGAAACATCGGGCAGCGAGAAATGGCGGGGATAGGAGGGAAAGCAAAACCCTTAAAATCCCAAAAAAGCAAAATAATAAAAAAGAATAAAAAGGGAAAATATTGGAAATAAAAGAAGGATATGAAAAAGGAAAGGGGCGAAAGAGGAAATTAGAGTTAAATAAAAAAACCAAAGTGATGGATTTAGCTTCTTCTTCTGCATAGATTCACAACTCACTCTTCAGTGGACACAACTTTTGGTTTTTTCTTCCTCTCCCTCTTCTTCTGTGTCAGAACAAAAAAAAAAAAAAAGAGTCCAAGGTTGTTCCTTTTTACATAGAAAAAAGGAACACAGTCTAAGATTGTTCCTTTCGATTTTGTTTTTTTGGCAAGGCAATGAAGGGTGGAGGGAAGAGAAAGGCAACCTCGGAGACTCCGAACGATGCTTCTGTTTCTTCTGATGCTGTGGGTTTGGGTGGTGAAGGTGGGGGTTCCCAAGTTGTGAACTTTGAGGAAAACGAGGGTACCCAGTTGCCGAAAGAGGGAGCTGAGGAACCCCATGCAGAGGATTCTGAAGGAGAGGGTGCGGATGAGGGAGAAGAAGGTGAAGAAGAGGAAGATGAAGAGGAAGAAGAGGAAGAGGATGGAGAAGAGGAAAATGGTGGCGGCGATGGTGATGCTCCTGCTGCTGTGCCTCAAGAGGGTGGACAAGGTCTTATTCTTGGTGATGGATTCTATGAAGTTGAAGCTATTCGTCGTAAGAGAGTCCGAAAGGTGAAAAAGTTTCCTTTTTTTCTTCTTCTTTTAACACGGGGTTCTGGTTTTTCTCTCCTTTTTTTTTGTATTTTTAAAATCTGTAATGGGGTTTTTTTTTTCATTTGATTTTCTTTTTTGTCTAATTTGTTTTTTGGCCTGACTATATATATTTCTTTTTGTTTTTGTTTTCTTATGGTTTTGGTTTATGACAATGTGGATTTCAAATGTTGCATGTATAGGGTCAGCTGCAGTACTTTATCAAATGGTGAGTGCCCCTTTTCCTCCTTTGTGTTCTGTTCTTTTTTTTTTCAACAGGATTGTGATGGAACTGAAGGGGATAAGGTGATAATGTGAAATTTTTGATATATTTTTGCTTATTTGTATGATTATTTGTTTGTTGATGAAGGCGTGGGTGGCCTGAGACAGCCAACACTTGGGAGCCCCCTGAAAATCTAGAGTCTGTTCCTGATGTTGTTGAAGCCTTCGAGGAGAGGTATTCCCTTTTTCTTCAATGAAATGAATAAGGATGTCAAAGGCACAACTTTCCGATGATTTTTTTTGTATGGATGTTCTGTTTTGCTGTGATTGCTAATAGGTTGCTTATAAGCATAGGTAGAAGACTGCTATTATCAGAAGCATAGGTGGATTTGGATGTCACAATTGTGTAACTTTTGTTTATGGGTATTGTTTTTTATTTTTTTGTGGTTTTGAAGCTTGAGATCGGGAAAGCATCGTAGGCGCAGACGCAAGCATGTGGTGCATCATACTCAACCCAAGAAGCGGCTGGAGCGTTCTACTACTCCCTACAGCCTAAGACGTTTTTCGACTAGTACAGCTGAGAATCATACTCAGCCTGCTCCTCTTAATGATCTTAGTATTTCTGATATTCCTGCCTTTCCTCAGACTGTGATTTTTGCTGATGAGGTGGAAACTAATGGTGATGCCGGCAATCTTGGACAAGCCAAGCATGCTAATGATAATAGGTCTGCAAATGCTTCAGAGCAAAATGTTGAAAGGAATGAGGAAAATGATTATGATCCTAAGCTTAGTGAACTTCGGGCTACAACTACCAATGGGTATGATACGGACAAGCTTGCCATACAGTTTCAAGAAGCTAGGATTTCATCAGGCAATATTCGTCAAGTGGATGGTCAATCGAAGGGGGTTTCTGAGGAACCACCTCAAAGTGGCCGTTGCAGGGGAGCCAAAAGGAGAAAATCTGGTTCTGTGAAGAGGTTTAAAAAAGATTCATATACTGGTGAGGAGCCTGTTAATGCACAAAGACCAATTGGCATGCCTGTTGGAACAGCTGAGCCAGCAGGAACAGGGATTGCTGACAATGGAGGTAATAATAGTCGTTACAAGACAGATCATGCTAGGCCTGCCAGCAACATTGTGAAGATTATAAGGCCAGTAGGCTATTCAGCTTCAGTATCCAGTGGTACGCAGGATGTTTTGGTGACCTTTGTGGCTATGAGGTAGTTACTCCGCAATTTATGACAATAAGTTTCGTTGTTGTCTTTTATCAAACTTTTACAACTGCATTAGTTTCATAATATGCTTGCTAAGATGAATTGATTCTTGACTCTATTTTTAAGGTATTATTTTTATCTGAGACATAGTGGTTGCTTTGGTTTCATATATACACTCATTAATACTGAGCTTCTGGTTCATGAGATCAATTTTTATACTTGTACCTGCCCCTTTTATTATAAGTTGAAGAGACAAATATCCAGCTCCTCGTTCACAAATGAGGACAGTCATAGATATTTGCAACATCCTTTACTTCTATTTTATATTTTGATTGATAAAATGCACTTTAAATGACTAATATAGAAAAGGTGTTAATGTAACTTGAAATTCATTAAGTGATTGAAGTTTTTTTTTTTTTTTTTGTGGGTTAATAAAGTAAGCAGGGCTGAATTCTTGGTAAAAGTAAAGGGGAAAATTAATGTAATTGTAATCTAGATTGTGAATAGCATGCAATAGTGCTGCTATAGTGGTGTCATATTGCATTGGTTGGCTGCTATTTCAAGCTTGTCATGTTGCCATCATGGTGGAAATTGCGGCTTTTTGCATGCATCTTGGCTGCTACCGTGAGATTTTTCGGAAACCCAAAGATTTCCTAAATTTTTAACTTTGCAGAATAATGTATGGTGTGGTATTTTGGAGTTTATGGGTTGAAATAGAAAAAGGCTTTAAATGGTTTTTAAGAACCCAATCATTCCTCTTCTCATTTTTGCCGACCCTCTTTTCTCTGACCCTTTAGTATTGTGCGATCCACCAAGCCTCTGCTCTCTGGTGGCTTTCCTGTGAGCTGCTGGTGTTTTCCGGCCAGTTTCTGGCAAATCTCTGTTCTTTGATCCTTGTTCTTCATTTTCTGTCAAGTTATCTGTTTTTCCCTTTGTTTTACTACTGTCCCACCACAAGTTGTTCTCCTCTACCTGTTCAGTCTGTCCACCTCTTTTTTTTTTTCCTTATCTTTTTCTGTGTTTTATTGGTTTTAATTCTGGCCATTTTGTTCTTTTATTTTGTCTAAATCTCTACTTATTCAGTTCTAGTTTTATATAGTCCTTAATGTTTTGTTACTTTAAGGAATTGAGTTAGAGGCTTAAATTATTGATAACTATGATTGTGACAATAAGGAGTGGTTTGGTTGGAGAAAATATTTTCTATTTTCACTTTTAATTTCAAAAGTGTTTACCTTACTTTCATTTTGTTTCTTGTTTTTAAAGTTCTATAGAAAATGATGAAAACTACCTTTTCTATACTAAATTAAAACACTATTACCTTCAAATTTTGTGGCTTGACAAAAAAAAAATTAAAATTCTAGCTGATTTACGAAAGGGAATTCATTTGAATATGGGATTATTGTTTTCTTTTTAGTAATGCTGTGGCTTGTTTCCAACCATCAGCACTAAACTGCTGCTAGTACTGGCTACTGTGATGTTTTCACTCTGTTTTTGTTTGGGAGCTGGATGAAAGAAGAAATTTTGGGCTTGTTTGACATCTGTTTTTAAAATGTTTTTAATTTAAAAAAAAAGGAAAATGTTTGTTTGATAAAGTTTGTTTTTGTTTGGTGATTTAAAAAGTAAAACCAATTTCAAATTTCTTTTTTTAAAAATTGAAAAGAAAAACTAGTTTGGGATGTTTTCAAAATACAACAGTATTTTTAGGAATGTAGTGGGGTAATGGTGTGTGGTAGTTGAAAGGGAAGTTTTTTTTCTACAAATTATTTAGATAGCATGTCCCAAGTCTGGGTAAAGGAGGGTTGTGTTAGGCCTTTGGCAACCAGTGTAAAACTTGTTGAAGCTTACATGGGGAGTACTCATGACGATGTTGTACAAAGGTTATGTTGTTACTCAGAAGTATCCATAATTGTTAATAGTACGCTACAGCAGTGCTATCGTGCTGGCATGGCCGTCGGCCGCCACTGCCACCATGTTGTGGCAGTTGTGGGTGTCCATGGCCAGAATAGGGAGATGTTCTCATTGCGATTGCGCAATTTGGGGGAAAGAAAGAAACCCTATTCTATTTTTTATAAAACTGTTTGGATTATTTTTAAGGCTAGAAAGGTCATTTACCCTTTATAAAAAATATATGTTGATTTCATCTTCCCCACTCTCTCCTCTGTCCCCAAAAATTCTGAGCCTCTGCTTAGCTGTTTCTTCCCTTCTCATTGGTGCACCCATTCCATTTTGCTAGAGAAATCAGCTCCTTTGGAGGCTCATCTACTCCATTTTGCCCGAGGAATCAGCTTTTTCGGTGCCTTCTCTCCAACAACCTCTATTTTTCTATTCATTGGAGGAATTGGTTTTTCTGGCGTCTTCTGCCTGGCGTCTCCTCTGTTTGTCTGTTCAGCCGATAAATCAAATTTTTCGGCGTCTCCTCTGTCACTCTTGCTTCAACTTTATCATGTGAAAACATTATTTTGTTTAATATAACACCCATACTGTATTGTTTTACACTTTTACTTAGAATGATGATTATGTAATAAATTTTGAGAATTTTTTGAGCATCTATACTAAAATTATGTGTATATAACATATTATACATGCATATTATAAATTTTTAAATAGCAATTATCCCGCAATACGCTATTCTATTATAGCGTTTTAGGGGTCATTCGCTATTTACTGTTATCCGAGATTAACAACGATGGAAGTAACACATTGAATGGCTTGACTAAGTGTCAAACGATATTGTGTGATCCGTGTAGCCAATCTGACTTAGTGGGATAAGGTTTGGTTGTTTGTTTTAGAAAAAGTGATTTCTAAAATTGTCTTACGAAACAGATTTTGGAAACTAAAAAAATGAAATGCAATCAAATGAGCCTGTTGTTTTCTGGTACTTGACCCTTATTGCTGCAGAGGAGGCTCAACTTCCCTCCATGACCTACTTGCGTCCTACTAGGTTTCCATTGGGAGAGAGAAGTGCCGTTAGGGAGATTCAAGCCGGTGTTACATGGATTTGTAATGCCCCCTGCATACAACATTTTGGAACGTTCCTAAATATAAGTTGCTTGCAACCCAAAATGTTTGTAGAGCATTCCATAATTAGGTTACCGTAGATGTTCAGCAGCGGGGACAGGCCTATTCATAAGGTTGTTGGGGGGATTTCCCTCCACAATTAATTGTTTCCTTTATATTATATTACATGTTTTATGTCTACATATGTATTCCACAATTTGTATGTGTGTTTCCACCACAACATAAACATTCATGGGTCCATCGATGATGTTAATGCTTGACTATCCAATGTTGAGCAAATTTTGTTCCATAGAAGCAAACCAAATTAGTATATTCTCCCGTTCCACATACTTAGAAAAGCCCCTTACGGCATACCTCTGCCTGTGCTATGTACCAAGTTATACCATGACTCATGTAACATTGATTCAAACTCCCCCATGATGTTATTGCTTGACGATTCAATGTTAAGTGGATTTTGTTCCAAAAAAGCAAACCAAATTAGTATATTATCCAGTTCCACATACTTACAGAAGTCTGATACCGCGCACCTATACTAAGTACCAAGTTGAACCACGAACCATGTACCATTGATTCAAACCCCCCCAACTAGTGCACAAACATCAGATAGCAACAACTTAGCCAAAGGCTTGTCGATGTTAATGCTTGATGATCCAATGTTTAGTGAATTTTGTTTCGAAAAAGCAAGCCAATTTAGTATATTCTTCTGTTCCACGTACATAGAAAAGTCGCATACCATGTATCTGTATCTGTACTATGTACCATGTTGTACCACCAACCATGTAACATTGATTCATACTCCCTTGACTAGCACAAACATTAGATAGCAACAACATAGCCAAAGGCTTGTTGATGTTAATGCTTGATGATCCAATGTAAAGTGAATTTTGTTCCATAAAAGCAAACCAAACTAGTATATTCTCCCATTCCACGTTTAGGAAAGTCCCATACCGCTTACATGTACTATGTACCAAGTTGTACCACGGACCATATAACATTGATTCAAACTCCCCCAGCTAGCGCACAAACATCAGATAGCAACAACTTAGCCAAAGGCTTTTTGATGTTAATGCTTGATGATCCAATGTAAAGTGAATTTTGTTCCATAAAAGCAAACCAAATTAGTATATTCTCCCATTCCACATGTTTAGGAAAGTCCCATATCGCGTACATGTACTATGTACCAAGTTGTACCATGAACCGTCTAAAATTGATTCTAACTTCCCCAACTAGCGCACAAACATCAGATAGCAACAACTTAGCCAAGGCTTTTTAATGGTAATGCTTGATGATCCAATGTTAAGCGAATTTTGTTTCAAAAAAGCAAACCAAATTAGTATATTCTCCCATTCCACAAGTTTAGGAAAGTCCCATACCGCGTACATGTACTATGTACCAAGTTGTACCATGAACTGTATAACATTGATTCTAACTCCCCCAACTAGCGCACAAACATCAGATAGCAACAACTTAGCCAAAGGCTTTTTAATGTTAATGCTTGATGATCAAATGTCAAGCGAAATTTGTTTAGGGTTTAACATTGATTCTAACTCCCCCAACTAGCGCACAAACATCAGATAGCAACAACTTAGCCAAAGGCTTTTTAATGTTAATGCTTGATGATCAAATGTCAAGCGAAATTTGTTTAGGGTTTAACATTGATTCTAACTCCCCCAACTAGTGCACAAACATCAGATAGCAACAACTTAGCCAAAGGCTTTTTAATGTTAATGCTTGATGATCAAATGTCAAGCGAAATTTGTTTTGAAAAAGCAAACCAATTTAGTATATTCTCCCGTTCCACATACATAGAAAAGTCGCTTACCATGTACCTTTACTATGTACCACGTACCATGAACCATGTAACATTGATTCAAACTCCCCCATCTAGCACATAAACATCAAATAGCATCAACTTAGCCAATAGCTTGTTGGCAAAGAAATTTTAATAGACAAAAAAGTAATGAGTTTTAAAATGAGGAGGATGATAAGGTGTTATCAGTAAAGACTCAATTTTGTTCTTTGGTATTCATCACTTTATTGAAACTTGATTATATATTTAAATGTAATTTGAAGTTGTATATTTGCTATTAATTAGCAATAATAAAAGGAAATACTTTGGATTGCAAGAAATTCATGTTAATATTTACAGCTTTGTCTTATTAAAATTAGCCTATAATGACAGATGTTAAGATGTCCCAGTTAAGAATATGATCATAATACTTCTTATAAAACTTAGGAAAACCTCAGTGAATTAGGCCTAGTTTTCTAATAACAACAATAGCCTATAAAGCCCTTCAAAAATGGCAAAGTATCAATATTAGACACGTTTCTCATATTGAGACACGTGCGGTACAGTCGAATAGGTATCTAGAAGGTATCCAAATGTTTTTTTTTTTAAATAAACCATGAGATACAGTAGGATACGATATGGTCAAGTCCTTATATATTTAAAACTTTCAAATATATTATTATATTATATAACTCCTTTTTGTGGGGTACACTTACATAATATTCTTTTCAAACGTAAGACTTCAATTGTAGATCCCCATCATTCTGTTCTAAACCAATAGACCACATCCAATGTTGTGGATGGATGGGATGAGGCTGACATTGTTAGTGTTAAGAAGTGAATTGTAGGAATTGGAAATTATAGAGCCAAAACTTCTTTTGAATAAGATGATGATTCTTTTGTGATATTTTGACACATCTTTTGTGATATGTTCACAGTAGAATGGTTGAGGGAAAGATGTATGTTTCATTGTTATGATCGTAAGTGCTTTTTTGTAAATTGTGATAATCAACTATTGACTATTGATATGTTTATATATTAATGAGAAATTAGTAATGTCTCATTGCAAATATTGTGAATTCATGTGTTTGTATGTGTATAAATATATTAAATTTCTATTAATATATGTAGGCCATGTCTTATCTTGATTTTTAGAAATGTCCTGTATCCTTGTGTTTACGTATATGGGCTTCATAGACAATGGCCTTTTGTCACATGGGTTGGCCACATTGATGGATCAAATTATGCCTTTCCTTTTTGTCAAAATCCAAGCTTTTTGGAAAGGCCATTTAGAATAAGGTCTCTTCTTTGAACAGTTTTTCATTAGATTTTTTTGGATCTTTCTTTCTCTACCTTTGTCTGTTGGCTATGCTCCATTTGATTTGATCACTTTTCTTCCTGTGTACATGTGATCTTATCTATAAATGACAGTCATTTTAGGCAAGATTCTGTCATATTTTTTTCCTAATAGGTGTTACTGTAATTTCCTCTCATACATTTATTACTGATTTTGTCTTCTATGTCTCCTCATGTGCCGCAACTTTCTCGTGTGTAATATCCATGTCCATCAATCTTTTTGCTGTTAAAATGTTTCCTTTTTAATTGATGAATTAAAATCATTTGCTTGGTAAATGTAAAATCTTTGAAGTATCCTAATTCCTAAAACAATTTATGAAATTTATTGAAAATTGGTCCTTTTACTAAATTATGTGAAGTTCATTGGTTTTGTTATTAATCTAATAATTGTTGTCAAATTTGCGCTTCAACTTTGAGTGTACAATTCAATGTGTTGTGGCCTCTCCAGTGAGTTGCCCTCCACTATGACTCGCAAATCTGATCGGAGTCAAGGGAATTGCCGCTCCAGAGTGGCACATCTTAGGACCAAAAATGTATTAAGACTATTTTCCACGGGTCGGGTCGGGTCGCCCAGCCTGTTTCATTTAGAAAAGCCCATTTTTAATGTTTTGTGAACCCTAACCTGCTAGACCCACCCTGATATCAACATTCAACTCTCTGCCTCTATTCCCCTCAAGTTGACACTCTAGGCCTCTGGTGTGCACAATTCCATTGCTTGTTTGTGTCTGGGTTGCTGTGACTGCATCTGTTTTTTCTTATCCTTTCTTCTCCAGTTCTCTGTTGCTTTGGGTGGTTGGGTTGCTGTTATTTTCTTCTATGCTTTAGTTTTATGCATTTCTCCTTTTTTTTTTGTCAAAACTTACATGACTTATCTCCTTTCTTCTCATTTATTAAATGTTTGTTGTGATTTAAGGGCTGTTTTTCTTATTTATGCCATTTTCCATGTATATATTTATGTCAGATTTTTGAAAATTTCCAAATTTCTGAAAATTTGATTTTTGACTGAATTCAATGGCATTGTGTGATCCATGTAGCTGACCCTACTTAGTAGGATAAGGCTTGGTGGTTGTTGTATACATGTGTGTTCCAAAATAATCCTGAATTTTAGTTGACTCTTACAGTTGTGTTATGATCTAACATCCCCTATCTGTTCCAACCTTGAAACTTGATTTTGACAACCTTGAATCTAATGTTATTGGTTAATCTTATTGTACTCTTATTTTGCAATGTGTGCAGGTTATATATGCCTTTTAATGATAATGTCAAATTTGCGGCTCTATGATGATGGCCTGCTTTTGAGCTAGTCTTGCATTTTTCTTTGCGTATATTGTTATCTCTCAATTTAGAGAGTGACAGACTGAGAGAATCTAGATTACAGGAAGAAAATATGTTGATCAAGAAAAGTATTTTCATTTTAATATGGGTATATTTACATATCATTTATATTTAAAGTAACAAAACTTGTTGGTCTAATATTTTTTGCTTTGGACCCATGATTCTTGAATTGACTCAAAATGGAGGTAGAATGTCCAGAAAAGAAGTTATATGACAGAAAGCAAGATTCGTATGTTTCCATATATTAAGTCCGCAATATTTATCAAGTTTGATCCTGCCATCTATTTTTTATATCCTGAAAGTAAATTGGAGAGGAGGAAAATCAATGGTTATGTGAGAATATATTTACATATTTAAATGATTTCAATCTAAATCAACATGCTTCTTCACATAAAGTTTATCTTGTTAACTTCGTAGGTCTGATGGAACAGAAGTGATGGTTGACAACAAGTATCTCAAGGCTTACAATCCGATACTGGTTTGCCCCCTCTCAATAGAAATATTAATGTTGAGCATTTCGTTGTTAAAATTTTTCTATTTTCTCTTTTATCTGAAGCTAATGTTTTTTTACATGTTGCAGCTGATCAATTTCTATGAGCAGCACCTTCGCTACAGCCCCACATCGTGACTGAACTTGCCTATATGTAGTTAGATTTTCAAGTGTTCAAACTTTGTAGTTAAGCTGTAGCATGTACTCTTGTAGATGCAGAAGATAGTTAAGGGTAAGAAATGCATTGTTTGTTAACATATATATAGGTATGAATGACTATTTAACCAGTTGTTGTCAGTGTGCTACATACTGTGATGATGCACGCTGATAGGCACCATGTTTTACTGGGGATGGCATGAAGAACTTGATATTTTCAATGCCTCAACAAATGAAGATAGGGAATGGCTTTTTAAGAGTTGGTCAAGAACAAAACTCTATTTTGGATTAATGTAAAATTTATGGAAGCTCTTATTTACTTATAAGCAATTTGCATTTGCCTATTATGTCCTGATTCTACTAACCTTACACGGAGAATCCACAATTAAATGTTATTCTGTTAGGATGAATATATCTTAGAATTGAAAGCTATCTTTCACTCAGTTCTCTTACATAAAATGCAAATTTGGTCATTTTTTTAAAATTTTTTTCCCGAGGGAGACTAAGTTATTTATATTTTCAATTTAACCTTGGTGATCTCAGGGGCAAAGTTTTTCTACTGGACCTTCCTAAATGGAAATTGTTAGGTGTGTGGTAAAAAAGGTAGTTTGTTTATTTTGTAAATTTAACATAGTTGAAATAAGCTTTTTGATGCTTTTACTCCTCTTAACATGAAATGCTTGATTGTGCACATTTTTTGAATTAATGTGTATATTCTTTGCTTATAAAGAAATTGTCTTGAAAGGTATAATGATTAAAAATGAAAAATTGGTATGGTTTTCAGATGTATATTAAACAAAATTCACTTTTAATCCCCTGGAATATTTGTTCATCCTCTACTACTGCTTTTGTAGATGATCCTGTAATCGGCTGCGGCTAAGGTACAGGAAAGGCAACAATGAAAAGTTGTGAAAATAACTGTGCAGATAGGGTTTTTTGGTAGCAGGAAAAATTGTGAAAAGGTTATATTTCCTTGTGTGTGTGGGTGCTCACATCTCAATTGAAATTCATTTTCTTGATTGTTTATTTCTAATGGTGTTCAAAACTCCTTAGACTAAACTAACTATTTACTATTTCAACCAAACAGATAATATGATTGGAATTATAATAATCATTGTTGTAAGTGATAGCAAACTGATGCTCCCAATCATGAATTAAGCCCATGGCAGGTTGGGTTGAGTTTATATAATTGGTGGTTCAATAATTTGTTTCTAAACCCACTGAATTAGCACTGAATTGGTGACTCATTATTGGTCCTGTATTGTTGCTTAAAATACCAATTTAGTCATCTCAAGAATCAAACTTACAACTCCCACTATAAGCATACAACAGTGATAGCAATTTTCACTTTGAAAATGGGATCCTTGTTGGGATTGCCCCATTTGAGGCCAATTTCTTGGGCAAAAATTTCCTGTAGGATCGGGGATTGAGGTGTGGGGATCACACCTTGCTCTGTGGGATCTTTGCTCAATTATACATATATTAAAAATACAAAAATACCTATAATTTGATTTGATGTGTTTAGTTTGTTATTATATTTTAGTTTGAACTATTTTTATGTATTTACGTGAATTTGATGTAATAGACTTATTACTTATAGTTTTTAATATAGGGTATATTTTTATTTTATTTTTTTATATTGTTTCTATTTTTCTTTTAAATTTTCAGATTTTTTATTAATGTTTGGGAATTCTTGCAGGTTACTGCAGCGAGGTGGGAAACAGGAACACAGAACGAAAATAGCATGTGGCGAGAATCGGGGACCATGCCTCCATGTTGCTTAATACACTTGAGTATATATTGAAAATAATTAAAAGTAACTTTTCAGAAGAAAAAATAGTTTATCATAACAAAACTATTTATGTACATATCAAATATTTAAAGAAATTCATATAATAAATATATTGGTAAAGTTATGAATATCATATTATTATAATATGACATCAAATTATATTAATATAAATATAAATATTAACTCTATTACTTTATAAGGTTTAAATATGTTTTTTGGTTTTTATTTATTTTTTATTTTAATCTCTTAATTTTTATTGTTTTAGTCCTTTATCTTTTTAAATATCACATTGTCCTAAGTGATGAAGTGGCTAACTAAGATATGTTGCAATGTTACATTTTTGTGGTATGTGTCAATATTTTATTTTGCCAAATAAGCAAAAGAAACATTTTGAGAGACTAAAATTTAAATCTAAAAAATGTAAGACTTAAAAATACATTTTAAGGTTAATTTATAATTTAGTTAATATATTACATGAAATAAAATTGTTTAATATTATCAATTTTACTATAATTTAACCAATAAGTAATATTAGTATATTTACTGATTGAATAACTAGTACAATTTTAAAAATATTGATTATAACCGTAATAAATTTTACTATAATTCTTCATCTTCTTGTCCAAAGAGGGGGCAAGGGTGAGCTTCTGTCCTTCCACTATCTTTCTTTTTTGCCTTTTCTTTTATCATAAATTATGTATATGATATGCTTTTTAATATTTTAAAATATGTAGTCATATAATTCATAAATTAATATAGAGCAAAAATATGTTATTAGCCCTCTACATGGTAAATAATTTACTACTTATAACATAATTGGACTCTTCTTGAAACGCTTTATTTTGAATCTCTATTTTGACGTTGTTAAGGCTTTGCATTGTGACGTTTTAGTTTTCACATTGCCCCTTTTGGTTGTCTAGCCTTTTTTAATTGAAGCTCTCATGCCATAGCCCCTTTCGGGTCGATTCGTTGATTACATAATGTTGCCACTTTTGGAGATATAGACGCATTGTATTGGCAGGTTAGAGAGGAAAAATTGAAGCATGACATAGGGTATGTGATATTTTGATAAATATGTTTTAAAATTATTAAATGGTATTTTATTTTGTGGGTGTCCAATATGATGTGTGTTTTATTACATGAGTCAAGAATCTTTTATCCAGAAAAAAAAAATGAAGACATTTTTTTTTTCATTTAGAAAAAGTATTTTACTGACAATTAAATAAGAAAACCAAAAGTTATCTTTTTAAGAGTTTATTTTTAAGATGTATGTATATATTAAAAAAATAAAAGAACAAGTGAGATATAAATATAACTCTATAAAATATCATTTATAGTATCAATCTTTAAATATTAAAATAGAGAAACTGTTTCATGTATTTTGTGGAGAAACTTGTTTAGAGAAAGTGTAATATCACTGATGTTTTTCTGAATAACTTCAAGGGATCATCATCCAAAGACATTTTCGTGATGTGTTTGGAAGAAAAAAACCATTTTGTATACTTTTTTTTAATGTAAAAATAGAGATGATGCAAAAGCTGTGGTTGGCATCCAACTTCATAGACTTTTAAATGGCTTCCTTTTTATGTTAGCAATATTATATCGTGAACTGAGAAAACATTAGGAATTTAAAAGTGGTATTTACTGCAAGAGACGTTGGGATAGCTCAACAAATTGGACAGATAAATGTCATGAAATAAAATAACCAATAAAGTTGAAGCCATTCCTATCCAAACAACGCCTCACAATGCAATTCTCTTATAAATTCAAATACTTCTTTGAACATTGTAATAATATAGTGAGAATATGGGAAGGGGTCCATCACCATTAATGCCTTCTCTATTCTTGCTTTGCTTGGGATTCCTCATATACTGGCCTACTCTTCTGTCAATTTTTGACATGTTCTTATCTTCATTTCAATGGGTATCTGAAGTTGATGAGAAAAGTTTTACAGCCTTAATCTTGGTGCTTCTCGTTCTATTAGTGTATGCATTCATTCACTTGCCTTCTTCATTTCCCTTTTTTGGCAAGTCATCTTATGGTCATGTGAGCATATCCAACCATAACTATGATGGATTTGAATTCGGAATGGGAACATTGCTCTTGCTTTTGCTCTTCATTCTTTTGTATAATCTATTCTGAGGCCATACTATAGGTTCAGACAAAACATGTTTTCTGTGTCTTAATGTTTAATGAACTAACATTTTTCACAGGTTTTTTGCTTCAAATATTTGAGTCTCTTATACTGTACAATATTCAACAATGATCCACTGTAAGAAAATTGATACTTGATTTAGTAACAACTCCTCAAGTAAGTACAACTATTCTAGTTGTATTTGGCAGTCCCTGTTGTGCTAATGAATGTGTATATGTTTGGGAATGAGCTATTTTTTTTAAATAATCTAAAAGTCTAATTAGTTATTTTAAAAAAAGTTGAAACAAACTAGTAAAGTAATCATAAAAATTAATTAAGCATAGATGGGTGAAAATTCAAATAAAAAATTTGTTGTTATTGTAACATCGGCTTGGCTAATATAGATTATTTAACAATTTATTATATTTATAAGGAAAAAGTTGTATGTTTGAATATGAGTAAAAAGTGATTTTAAAATAATTTATTCTATTTAGATTGTAAAAAATAGTCACATTACAATAAAAATATATAAAATTACGTGAAATAGTTATATTTATATTTAAAACAATAAATTATTAAAAATAAAATATAAAAATGAAAGTCAAGTGGTAAAAGCTTATAGCTATTAATCTTAAACACTAAAATTTACTTAATTTAAACCAGTTGTTTTATTTATAAAAAAATAAAAATAAAAGATTACAGGTTAATGCTTTACACGCATACACACTTAATTATATGTGTAACTGAGTGTGTATGCTCGTGTGTATATATAAAATTATTATTTATTAAAAAGTTTGATAAATAAATTAAGAATTTTTTTATAAAAAATATTATTTTTAGAACTTTAAATGATTTCTTATGATAATAAGTAATAATTAATAGTTAATTACTAAATTTATATTATGCTTCTAATAATAATAATAATATTTTTGTAAATGGTTATAATTAAGTTATTTATTATATTTTTTACAAGATGGTAAATTTTTGAAAATAATTAAATAATTATTTTATTAATTTAAAAGGATTTAATTTCTAAATTTGGTTATATAAATTTGATATTGCATCTTCGCATTAAATAAAATATATATATATATATATATATATATATATATATTTCAGATAATTTTTTAAAATATACATATTTTAAAGTTTAAGACTTAAAAGATGTTTAATGTATGGAATCAATTTTTAAATTTATACGAATCAAGTTTTTCAATAATTTTGTTATTTTAATATGTTTGATATGTCTTGAATATTCTTGAAAATGTTATAAAGTAATCCCTTCAATTATTTATATATTATATTTTATTTCAATATTATCTTTTGAAAAAATAATGTTTTTTAATATTTTTTACTCAATATAATTTAAATATATTATTTATACTTTAATTAAATTTATATTTATTTAAATTTAAAATAATATAAGGAAATTAAAATATAAAAATGTATGTGAAAAAAAATATATAAAAAATAATTGCTTATATATGATTAATTAATTAATTACTACTATTAGATTGTTATATAATATAAATTACTTTAAAATTTGGAAATATTAAAAGGATATAATTATATTTTTATATTATAATTTTTTTTTATCAATATATTATATTTTTACTTTTCTTATGAGGATATTTTCTTAAAAAAATAATAAAAAAACATTGATGCTAAATACAAGGACACATCATTTCCAATTTCAATTTTTTTTGAAAAACTTAAAAAAAATTTTATACAAAATATTTAAAGAGGAGGAGAGAGAATAATAAAATAAAAAAGTAAAAAAATTAAGAGGTTATTTAATTTTTAAAAAATGAATAAGCAATTAAGTGGTGTAATGAGTTAACATGTTCAAATAGTTAAATATATTTTTTAAGAAATTAAAGGTTCAAAATTTTTATTTTTACTTAATAATAACAGGTTTCTTATATTTAATGATTTAATCCTCCATAAAAATTTGTAAAATTATTCTTTGCATCTTCAAAACTTGTTATTTTTTTTTATTTTTATAGGGTTGTATTGATAATATTTTTATTTTTTTAATACAAATCTTATTTGTATCTCGTATCTAGATGAAGATTTTAAAAATAAAATTTTTTACATGCACTAAAATAGTTTTAATTTATAATAAAAAATAAATTTTGAATTAATAGAATATTGAATGTTATTATAGATTTTTGGGATTCTTCATCTCCATGCACAAAGTCTTAATTCATCATAAAAATCTACTTTTATATTGATAAATTGTGTAATGTCACTTTAAATATTTTCTATATCCTCTTACACACAGATCACATTTAGTAAATATAATGTTTATAAAATTTGATTAAGTCATTTTAACTTTATTTAAACAAAATTTACTGAAAAAATAACTTATTTGATAAACATCGCTTAAGTAATCATGAATATACTTAAGTAAAAATATTAACTTAAGCTAAATTTATTTTACTTAAGTGAATTGTGTATGAATCCAACAATTGTAGCACAATAGTTTAATTTTTGTTGCTACATATCTTTTGATGCAATAAAAACCTCGAAGCTACATAATTATTAAAAATAAATAAAAGAAAATAGTTATTTAGTAGTTTAAAATCACTAGATTAATACATTTAAAGTATCCAAATTTAAAAATATAGAATTAACAAAGTGTGAATTAACAAAGTGTGAATTAACTAAATTAACCTTTTATAACATAAAATGAAAAAGTTATAAAATTTTAAAAAAATTTAAAATTATTCACATATTACAATTTAAGTATCCCTAATTAAATTAAAAAGAATTAATAAGGCATATAGGTTAATCATTTTAGTCTAAAAAAATATACTTGCATAACACTGGTAACAAAGGAAAAGAAAAAAAAGAAAAAACAACAAAATAATTTATTTATTTATTTTTATTTTATTTTACCAAAATGGTGATATTTAAGTCAACGATTCATGTTAAATTGATACAGTAAAATAAATAATACATTTTATTGAATTGCGAACGATCAGCATAGAAGCTGAGAGACGCTTGGAGAAAAAATATTTTAATTTTAATTTTTACAAAATGAATAGATGTATCATTCATTTCCAATTGTATAAAGACTGATACAATTGGCCTATCAAACAAGAATATGATAAAGTTATGCTTTACTTTTGAAAAAGGATGAACAATGAGTGGCCTACATTACTGTATTCATTTCATTATATAGATTTGCATTCCTCTCTTTCAATATCTATCAGTATCAACCCTTCTTCGTCATTCTCTTTCGCTCATGGCCAAGTTTGAGTCAGTGCCATTTGCTGTTGCATCAAATATTATTCACAGGCTAGCTTCCCCAGATTTTCTTGAATTTGGACAGCATTATGGTGTTATGGAAGAGTTGGAAGCGCTTAAGAAGGCAATTGGATCTATCAATGATGTGCTCCTTGATGCTGACCACAAACAAGATCAAGTTCGTGTGCGTAATTGGATATCTGACTTCAAAGAAGTACTCCATGCTGCAGATGACTTATTAGATGACCTTGCTATCGAGTTTAGGAGAGACAAACGGGATGCAGCAGAAGGAAAAGAAGCAAACAAGGTACTTCGTTCCATTTCATCTTCAAATCAATTTCCTTTGTACAGTGAAATGCCTGACAAAATAAAAGAAATACGAGGAAGTTTTAATGACGTAGTAAAAGAAATGAGGGATTTGAATTTAAGTCCAAGATCAGGGGTGGTTAAGCGAACTAACAGTGAATGGAGGGAAACAAGTTCTTTTGTGTTAGAATCTGATATCATTGGAAGAGATGATAGTAAAAAGGAGATTATTAGTCTGTTGAGACAACCTCATGAAAACCAAAAAGTTTGTGTGTTTGCCATTGTTGGCCTTGGTGGCTTGGGGAAGACAACTCTTGCTCAAGTGGTGTATAATGACTTGGAAGTGCAGAATTGTTTTGAAAAGAAAATGTGGGTGTGTGTCTCTGATAACTTTGATGTGAAAACTATTCTGAAGAAAATATTAGAATCTGTTACTCGTCGCCCGACAGCAGATGGGTTGCCATTAGACTACTTGCAAGAAGAACTACGTGAAAATTTAAGTGGTAAGAAATATTTGTTGGTCTTGGATGACATTTGGAATGAGAGACATGACAAATGGGCTGAATTAAGAAAGTACCTGATGTGTGGCGCTCAAGATAGTAAGATTTTAGTGACAACTCGAAGTGAAAATGTAGCAAAGGCAATGACTGCCAACACTTCCTATCCTTTGAAAGGTTTGACTGATGAAGCATCTTGGAGTTTGTTGAAGAGCGTTGCATTTGAGGATGATTTCAAAGGAGTGAATCAAAACCTAGAATCAATAGGGAAAGAAGTAGCCAAAAAATGTAAAGGGGTTCCACTAGCAGTTAAAACCTTGGGAGGCCTGTTACGAGGACAAAACGAAGAAAGTGATTGGGAGAATGTTTTACGTGGTGACTTTTGGAAATTATGTGAAGAGCACGATTGTATCATGCCAATTCTAAAACTCAGTTACCACAACTTGTCGCCAGAAATGAGACAATGTTTTGCTTATTGCTCTTTGTACCCCAAGGATTCAAAAATTCCAAAAGATGAGTTGATTCAGTTATGGATGGCACAGGGTTACCTTAAATGTTCAACTGAAAAACAACACATGGAGGATGTCGGTAATCAATTTGTAAAGATGTTTTTGATGAACTCATTTTTTCAAGATGCGGATAGTGAATACGGTGAAATCATTAGCTTCAAAATGCACGATTTAATGCATGATCTTGCAATGCTTGTTGCTGGCAATGATTATTGTTACTTGGATAGAAAGGCAGAAAAAGTTGAAGGTAGACCCATGCACTTATCATTGGAATCTTATAAGGCCATTCATTTGTTGAACTCATTAGATCCGCGCAGGCTGCGAACTTTGATTTTGCCTTTGATTTTGCCGTCTGACTTAAAAAAGGAGGAATATTTGCCGGTTATTGCAAAGTTCAATTACTTACGCGTCTTGAGAATGCATCATCTCCCTGATTCCACTGAAAATTTGAAGCATTTAAGATACCTTGTTTTAACACAACCAAAAAGTCTTCCCAAATCTATAAGCAATCTTGTTTGCTTACAAACATTAAAACTCAAAGATTGCGATGAAGAATCATTTAGAGAAGTAGTCACAAAATTAGTTAATTTGAGGTGCCTTGATATTGCTCGTCATTGCTTGAGTGGAATGGCAGTTGGGTTGGGAAAACTATGCTCTTTGCAATTCTTATCGACCTTTGTTGTGGGAGACAGCCAAGAAATAAAATATGCCACATTAAATGAACTGAAGGCCTTAAACCTCAGAGGCAAATTAAGAATTGAGCATCTCAATCGTGTCAGAGAAGTGGCTCTTGAATCACAGCACGTAAATTTAAAAGAAAAAAAATTTCTTCAATCCTTGACTCTGGATTGGTCGGGGGATGAAGACCGCCTTAACAGTGACGACAGGTTGCAATTATTGGAAAACCTTGAGCCCCACAGTAATCTTAAGCGATTAGAGGTGAATCATTATCCAGGTGTGCTTTTCCCAAATTGGCTGTCTCTCCTCACAAATGTTGTTCACATCCGTCTCTCTGAGGTTTCTAAATGCCGCTGTCTCCCTCCGTTGGAACGTCTCCCGTCTCTGAAGTCCCTTGATATATGGTCTCTTCATGAATTGGAATACATATACCTCTGCGAAGATGGCTTTGCAGTAACCTTCTTCCCCTCTTTGGAGAGCCTCATGTTAGAAGATTGTCCCAAGTTCAGGGGATGGCGGAGGCGGGGAGATGATATCAATGATTCACATAATCTCTCTTCATCTCTTTCATTTCCTCATCTTTCTCATCTGCAACTCTATCTCTGTCCACAGTTGACTTGCATGCCTTCCTTTCCAAACGTTAAGGATTTAAAATGGTACAAATGCAGTGCGGAGCCATTAATAGCAACACTAAACACGTCAACATGTTCATCTGACTCATCTTCCTCCGCTGCTCCTCTTTCAGTGCTCAAACAATTGAAGATTTCTGATCCTATGAATTTACCAAAGGGTTGGATGCATAATCTGACTTCTCTCGAGTCTCTTAAAATTGAATTGTGTGAAAGTGAAACACTTGAGGAATTTGGAATTTGGTTTAAGGACGACACCAACTGCCTTCCGTCTATGCGAAAAATCAACATATATCAGTGTGAAAGGCTAAAGGCTTTGCCAGATTGGATTTGCAACTTCTCATCGCTTCAACGCATCAAGCTCAGGAGGTGCCCAAAATTGGCATCTCTGCCCGAAGGAATGAGTCTTATCAACTTAAAGATGTTTGAAGTGAAGAAATGTTCCCTCTTACTTGAAGAATGCCGAACAGAGACAAGTGCTGTTAGTCGCCAAATCGCACACATCCCACAAATCATCCTTCGTGATTAGTGATGATAAAGGTACTGATCTGATTATGATGCGTATTTATTTAGTGTAAACGTCGTGTATTGTATTTGCTTTGCTAATAAAATACTTTTAACTAGCTTTTGACTTATAAATACAAATTATCCTAATAATAATATTAATTTTCAGTTGTTAAAAAATATGGAAGTCTTAACCGTCATATATTTAATGCTAATAAATTTTTATGCTTTGCACTATATTATAAATAAATATTTTATTATTAATAATAAATATTCTGTTATATTAATAAGATTAAATTAAAAAAAGTTAATTATAAAATTTGTATTAAAAATTTATTTATTTATGACATAAAATAATAAGTTTTGTTATTTTATTAATTGATATTTTTTTATGTGCTCAAATTTTGTTTGTCATATTTTTCATTACAAAATTTCAAATATATTTATTGAAATAATATATACTAACAAATTTTTTCTTTTTTTATTGCTTCTATTGAAGTAAGTTATAAAAAATAATCTAATAGTGTAATAATTTGGTTAGAAATTAAGTAAGTAAAAATACTTGAGCTAATAAAGTAACTTTGTTGAATTTTGCAGTGTAAGTATATTTATTGATGTTGGTTATGACATTATTCTTGCCATTATAATAGAGGTAAAATCTTCCCGCGGAAGTTATAAGAATTTAGTTTTTTCTTAAAATTGACTTAGTACTTGCTCAATACAAGTTGGATTGTGTCTGTCTTGAGCTCATATTTTTAAAATATTATGATTTTATCATAGTTTTCTTAGATAATAAATATAAGAAATTTGTGAGGATAATATCTAATCTTTTTTTGCAATGGAGTAACATATTTTTTTTTAATCGGTAATTGTTTTAATTCATATGTTCAATATGTATGTGCAATGTTGTTTAACATACACCTAGCATTGATGTTCTTAGTCTTACCATGTATCATTGTATATTTTACATTAAATTTGATCTAATTCTTCACTATAAGAAGTCCATTGCTATTCTCACAAGTTTTTAAAGTTCTTCACAATTTGATCTAACATATTTGTTTAATCCTAGGACTTTTATTATGTTAGAGATTGATTTCTTTTATAGTATTCCTTTTAATTTTCTTAGGAGTAGAATACATCAGACCCTATGTATCTATATTAATAGTGGTATTGTTAGAACTCTGACAGCCCTCATATACCTATTTACATATCATGACTATGATAATCTTGGAAGACCGTCTAGATGGACCTTTGAGCGTGTTACTGGCACAAAAAACGCAACTGATTCAGGTTATCGTTACCTTGGATCAGACGATGATCTTGATTTTGAAGATTTGGCTGAGATAGAGAGCTGGCATGGAATTGTCTAGTACCTGGCCCTCAGGGTTGGGGTGTGTTTGAAGACTATTTTGGGACTTAAAATTTGTTTATGTTACGAAATTATTTTGATTATGTAAATGTTATTTTAAGTTCCATATATTCTAACAAACAGTTTGTAAATTTTTATAATTGATATATGTAATATATTCAGGTTTCCCAATGAGAATACTTAAATTTTGATTCGTGATATTTAATTTATTTTTCTTTTTATTTTATTATTGTTGTTCCATTAATATTACAAAATTTGAAAATTTTGTATAAACAAATCTATCTAAAAAAAATTCATTAATTTACTATAATAAAGTGTAGTATACATAAGAATTTGTATTTTATCTCAAATTATTAGAAATAAGATATATCTTTTACGGATTTAAAATTTTAGAATGTTACAATTTCTACCAAGACTGCCAATGCTGATTCATTCATACAATTTTTATGACAAGTCTCAAAAAGAGGAATCACAAAATTACAGTAACAAAAATATTAATATCAAAACAGTTTCATGTCAAGACCCGTGATAATTCCATAGGACATTGAAGTTTATTTTTTCACATATATGATTTAAGGATACCACTTCCATATATGTAATTAAAACTCTTTGTTAGGTCTATTTTGTAAAAATGAACGCAATTTGTATTTATAGACCTTATCCCATGGCCTGGTCCACAAGCAACCCCAACAGCACTGATGTTAGAGCAGTCACCATTGATAGCAATACAATTATCACCTATTTCCAAAGGCAGATTAAATTAATGTCACACTTACAGTAATTATTGAAAGGGTCTTGCTAATTACTACGTCCCAACTTTTTAATGCAGAACAAATAATTAATTATGTCATAAATTTGATATATTAGATAAAAACTTGATTTACCAGTTCCTATAGTGGATCTTGGATCAAAATATTTTTGGAAGAAGCAATGTCGAATCCATCAGTGTTGGGACTGTGGGCAGGAGCATGAATATTGATTTGAGAGAATTTTGCACCCTCGCAACTACTTACAGATATGTGAGCTCCAGGGCTATTCATCATCCTTAGATATTCCACTGTAAGACCGTTACAACCATGGAAACGCAAGGCCTGAATCACATCCACATGAAAAATTTAGTCAAAAAGTATTCAAAATTGAAAACTATAATCGCAAGATCTTGAAATTAAGTTATTAATCAATCCTTTGGATGAATTTAATTGTTCTAATTATGTTAAATAATATTGTACCAAGTAATTGTGGGAGAACAAAGTTTGGAATCATCATACTGTGGGTCGTTTACAACTTTTGCATTGCCACCAAGTAGAACCATAGCCATCGATCATTTTTCTTTTGGCATCAACTGTTAAATCGTTTACATTTGAGATCACAATCAAACTTGAGTTATCACTAACCCATGCATCCTTAGATGGTGCAAGTATTTTTCATGCATGCTGCAAGAAAATAGGAATTTAAAATAAAAATAAAATCAAATAAGTAGCTCTTTATGACATGGAGAGTTTTGAATAATTATTACTCATGAAATAATACTTGATTTGATTTGAGCTATTCTTATTGTTATTATTCAAAAGTTTTGAAATAGTGCTCACCAAAAAATAGTGAGTTACATTTTCCAGTCACTCTCTTTTTCTTTCAGAAAAACCATTAATGAGGGTATGTTGAAAAAATCAATCTCATTTGATAATATATATAGTTATCAAAATTGAATTAAATATTTTTATATTTGATTTTATTCTTTATTTTTTTTCATTATTCAATATGAAAATACTTTTCAGAAACTAAAAGAAATTATATGTAAGTGATTGTTATGACATCCTATAATGGAAATGGCAATAGAAAAGATATTGAATTGGAGAAAGGTCAGACTTAATTTTATTCTCTTCCTTATGTCATTGTTATGACATCCACTCTTTTCATATTTGTTTATTGGTATAAGGATTTCATAAATTGATATAATATTTAAACTGTAAAAACTAGATTAAAATAAATTCAGCACAAATTCATCTTTGCTCTAATTTATCATAACGATTTCACAAATTTATAGGGAACGAATGTATGTTTTTTTTAATTTATTTGAGTAAATGTATTTATATTTTTTAAAAATTTCAAATTATTCTACCTAATAACGATAAATTGAACTATATAATATAATAGCTTATGATGAAATATTGAACATTTTATATAAATTTTTTTCTTATTTTCATTTTGTGTTCAAAATTTTATTTAATATATGTTGTCTCTAAAAAGAAAAATCAAATAACCGACCGGATTAGATCCAATTTAATATTGTATTTTATATAATTAAATTAAATTAAACCTTGTTTTCATAATCAAATCGAATAAAAATTTACTTAAAATTAATCAAAATTAAAATGCAAAATACCCCCTACCTTATTATCAAAGCCTAAATGAATGAATATTGGATAATTTTCTCACAACATGCACATATATTTCCAAAACACTATTAACATATAGTGATCTGATAAAAAAAATGGATATTAGCTAGACCTCAATGCTAATATTTGTGGCCTTGCAGGGACCGTTTAGCTTTAATTTGTTCACCAAAAACACTTTTCTTGGTGGTACGAGTAGCTAGAGTTGCTGCACTTTCTGCTTCACACGTGCGTTGCCGTGCACTTAAAAATGCCTATAACATCAATTAAAATAAATCTTGTTATGAGTCACTCAATTGGTTGAAACCATCACAACCTATAGTATCAAATGTATAATTAGATATAAACTTCCCCTTAAATAGAAGAGTTAATTTTCTTATGATGTATACATAGATTAAGATTATATTATATAGAAATTAACAATAAAGCAGAAACTCATATATACATGTGAATCATCAGATTTGCCATCGCCATGAGCTCCATATTCTTTCACATTAAAAATAAATCGTTTTGTTTGATCCAATCCTCCTTATACACTGAGAATGAAATAAAACAAAGAATCAAAATACAAGCGATTGATGTAACACTTTAATTTAATTTTTTAAATAAATAAATTTTGTAAATTTAAAAATAATAAAAAGAAGTTTTTCATTCATAGGGTTTTTAATATATAATTCAATAAAATATTTTAAAATAGGGATAGGTTACAAATTTATATCAATAATTGCTACAAGACTTAATTAATAAATTAAATTTTTAAAATAAACTCCTAAGTCTTAGAGCAGTTTGATTCATCCTTCATTAAGCTCGATGCTGATTGTCTTGGTTACTTGAAAAATAAATATAAGAGTGAGAACTCTACACTATCATACACACAAATAAGCATAGAGTCTCACCTTGCCTATTCCACACATTTTCTAATCAAACATCATCAATCACAATTAACACGTTTCAATATTCCATTTCAATTTACAGGAAGGTGCACTCACAGCACCAACAAACATTTCACACACACATGCGCTCATTGCATATAGTCACGTTCACTGTGGCACTGTGATCACAATTTCATACCATGGATGGTTGTTGGTTACTCCCGCCTTACGGATACAACGTGTGTGATCACGAGTCGCTCGGCAAAGGCGTTGGTTAGAGGTCTAGTCAGGAGGAGAGTGTGTGGCCGGTGGTGCACCCACTCTTACTATTAGTGTCACCATCACCCTCTCTTTTCCAAGGTATTTCTACCATCCCCATCTTCCACACCTCTAGTGTATCGCTGAAACATTCATAACATATTCACAACCGCTTTTAACATGCCCCTTTCATACATATTTCAGTCACTTATAATATTTATATTCGCACACGGCATAAGGCCCACATTCATTTACAACACACGACACATATGCCCACATTTCACCAGACAAGGTTTAATCATACAGTTTCTCTCATAATATCCCTACAACCATTCATTTCATCATACCAAATATTTCTCAAGTTTTAAACGATTTTTCACCATAATTTCACTATAATCAATCAATTCTATCAAACACACACATTCCAAACCATCCACATGACAATGCATAGTAAATTACATGGCATTCAGACATAATGAGATAGAGTAGAGTCCCTTTTACCTCAAATCGAAGACCCACAACGTAGATCAACAATGGAAGTGCCCCCACACGGATTTTATCCTAAATACATGGAGAAATTCCATGAGAACTCAAAGAGAACCAAGAAAACATGGAAGAGGGACAAAAACCAAAATCTTAACCATTAAAAATCACCTCCAAATGCCCTAAACTTGTTTCCAACCTTTTTACTTCCAAATAGTTTTGGAGGCAATTTAATCGGTGAAATTCTCAAACCCTAGAACCCTTCAAATACCCTTCTGGTCGCGACACTCTCGCTGCAACGAGAATAAGCGAGATGTTGTCAAAGGAAAATGCACTCTAGTTTCTGCAGGATCTCGCTACAGCGAGACCTTCTCGCTACAGTGAGTCTGCACATAGAAATGCACCCGCTTCTGTCATCTTCTCACTACAACGAGGGACCTCTCGCTACAGTGATAGCGCGACAAAATCACCTATCTCATCCAGGGCCTTCTCGCTACAGCGAATACCCCTACATTACACATTTAGCCTATTTTCAATCAGTCCAGTACATCTAATCCCAATGCATAAACACCATCCACATTTATCACATGTATAAGCATATATCTACATCATTGTATATACACCAAATACACAAACACATGAAAATCTATACACATACTTATATTAATATACATGTATATCAAATGTTATTACAAAAATCTGGGGCGTTACAACTCTTTCCTCCTTTAGGAAATTTTGTCTCCAAAATTCAACTAAACACACAATTTACGCAAACAATTCTGGATATAACTCTCTCATTCTACTCTCCGTTTTTCATGTAGCATCTCTCTCATCTTAATTTACATAATTACGATATCAAAACATATTAAGTGCTATATAGAGCAGTTTATTTTCACACTAAAATTTTGAGAACACGATCTTAATCATCATTCTCAAACCAGCTCTTTCGATGTTAAGTCTTCCTTATAGAAATCTTTGGCGTTTGCAATGACCTTTATGCTAGTTATTTGTTCTATAGTGAAACGGATTAGTCTTCCAAAATGGTCATGATCATGGAAAGTATAAGTAAAATTTACAGTGTTTGGTGTCCGGATTGTTCCTTTATA